ATTATATTGACCTGCAATAATTCCTTATATTGACCTGGAAGGTCACGTGTAGGTCAATATAACGTAGTATTTTTCTAACATTGTTGGATCTCAGCCAATCAGAAAGAGGGAAATTATTCAATCATATAATAATATGCAATAATACTGGAAAATTTCACCACATTCCAATTACCATTAAAATCACAAGCTTTCTTAACATGGACAGCTGTAAAATCCCGGGGAGACTTTGAGGTAACGTTGTTAGGTATGTCACATCACATTCTAGGAGCATCTCACCCACACATTCAAGTTGACTTAGAAATTCTGCAGAACACTGCATACTTTTCTCCATTTCTGCCTTCGAGAAAATGGTACCCATCTCGCACCCACTTTCTTCATATTACGATCATTTTTCAAAATGCGCCCTGTCCTTCCATATGATGTTCTGATTTCAGTAGCAATGTCAAGCACAGTGCATTGCGGTCCACATCTATAAACACTCTCAATTTGCCTACGAGGAAAGAATGACCGTCCAATAGTCAGCCAGGCCCTTCATCCTTCACAGAAGATCTATTTTCTATAAATTTCTTAAACCACTTGAAAACCAATTGTTTACTGCTGTTTTGTCCTGCATGTATCCTTAGTGTATACATCTGAGTAAGAGTGTTCTCGAGAATTTTGAGTTGAGTGTTCCCAAGAATTTCACAAAACTTATTGACTGACTGAGTATCGACGTTGTCTAAAGATGTCATTGATGGACAAGAAATCATCAATAGAAAAAATAAATATCCAGTAGAATTGATAAAACTTTTACACAAAGGTTTGTAAGAGTTCAAGCAATCGTAATTATGACATCATTTTTGTTTCATATTCACTTAGCGCGTTTTTTTTTTCACAGTGAGCATTAAGAATTGAAATGATATACAATATACAAATAAATGTTTCCCCCGTATTTTCAAACATCCGTTTCTATGGCAACTGCCAAAGAGTTACTTTGAGGAATTTTTGAAATATTCTTTTATTAAGAAAATTCATCAAGTGTATACATTTTCATCTGTAATTTTCAATCACTTCCATTAATGAATAAAATATAAAGAATTTCACGGACTTTTGGATCAACCCTCGTACATGAATACACAGTTCTATGTGTCAAATTGTAGTAGTTTTGATGATCAATAATGCCATGTAAACAATACAGGCTTGAAACAAACACCAACTGCATGTTAATCTGACCAGCGATTAATCCAAGCCTATATTTAAAAATAAATGTATACATATGATCATGGTTTGCAATTTTTTCCACCTTTTCTTGCTATTTCAGCTTCCAGCTATCTGTCGGTGGATTCCTATCGACTATATAAGGAAAAAACAATCATCATTTCTCTGGTGTCCATCTGCTCCATCTCTCTAATTGTCATGGCATCTTTTCTGCTGTACCGAATCTGCCTTTCCTCACGAAAACAACCCCCCAGTCCTTTGGATGTGGTGGAGGCCCAGCCGCTCCCTGGCTTCCAGAGTGAGGATCTGAGAATCATGTCTCTGATCTGTAAGACAAAGAACGGGGAGGTTTGGAAAGGACAACTAGGGGAGGTCCCAGTGGCTGTAAAAGTCTTCAGTCAAAATCACAAACATCTCTACCAGAATGAAAAGTACATCTACTCACTGCCATTTATAGAGCAAGAAAATCTGCTGAAGTTTTACGGGACTGATGAGCGACAGAATATGGAGGGATTCTGGCAGTATATGATCGTCTTGTCATATGTGCCGAGGGGAAGCTTGTTTGGATACTTGCAGAACAATACAATAGACTGGGAAACTTTCAGTAAAATGTGCCTGAGTATTGTCAAGGGCTTAGTCCATCTGCACACAGATCTAAGGAATGGGGGTAAGGATCCTTTTGATCTTTGTGATATTACAAAAATCAAAAAGTCAGTTTCTTTTGCTTAGTTTGACTGTATTTATCCCCCCGTAGATTAACATCTTCAGAACCCTAGAGTTTTCTCTCCTTACAATATATTCATTGAATATAGTGTAATGGATAGAAATCCTGTGGTTTCTGACCATGTTAGCTAGATTATATACAGTTGAACTTCAATATCTCAAAGATCAATATTTTGAATACCATGGATACATTGAAGTGAGTTGCAAGTCCCAACCACTTTTTTAATATGTATTTTAACCTCAATGTCTCAAATCCTTGGATATCATCAAAGTTTTTTTCTTGGCCCCATCAAGTTCCAGAGAACAAGATTTGACTGAAAAACTGTTTGCTTGAAAGTAAAATGTAATTTTGTCCAAATTGATCTTATAAGGGTACAAATTGATCACATTTGTCTCAAGTTATCTCATGTCAACTGGTCACATAATAGTACCTCTTATTACAATGTAAATCACATGGGGTTATTTCACTGTGAAATGTTTGTACATTGCCCTTGACTGCACTGCAGCAGACACCCCAGGGAAAGTGTAGGTAAGAGTAAATTCTTCTAGCATTTACATTACCAGAATTTGTCAAAAGATTTAGTATATGATTATTATTACACCAAATCTCCCACAACAAAGTAGGATGACTGGAATTACCATATTTTTGTGTTTGTCTGTCCAACTGTCCATCCACCTGTCTATAGATGCAGAATGACCTTGAGCTTGACCTTGAGAATCTAGTCAATTTTTTTCACATTTTGTATAATATAATTATGTCCTACATATCTTAAGCAGTTGTATCATTGGATTTCTAATCTCATATAATAAGAGATGATGCCTCATTCAGTGTCTGTATGAAGTTTTAATTCTTCATGTTTAGGGTTCCATTATGGAATATTCAAGCACAGATATAAAATATGTATGTGAACATGTATCTTTTCAAATATTTCAAAATACAAAATGCATTTAAAATTTACAAAGCAAGTTTCATATTTCACACTGCATGTGGATGGGAAAAATTTAGCACTTTTCAAGTCACCTTTAACAACATTATTATAAAAAAAATTGTCATTCAGTATTTTAATATTAAAATGGAATTAAAAAGTCCTTCATTTTTTTATTGATTACTGTAACTGTAGCAATATTTAAAGTTGAAGCTTACCTTGACATTTAAAAGGGCATGAATGAATAAGTCACAAGTTAATAAAAAAAATCTTCATTTTCTGAGTACAGGAAAAAACAACTATGACGTCACCTGAAAACTTTGCAAGATAAAGATAAATAGGATATAAATCCATATAATGTTATTTACCAACCACGAAGTTATAGTCTCTGTCTGTTTCTCAAAATAAGTTCCCATGCAATGACAACCTGTGTTTTTACGTAATAAAAGTGTCAGTATAATCAGTGTGGGCTTGATCTTCCTAAATGATCTAACAGATTGTGTATGACGTCGCTGACTTGTTAGATGCCCAGAGTAGGGAAACGGGGGTGGATGAATCTCTTTCATAATTTGTAAATATTGACATGAACGTAGAAACATATCTGATTATTTCTCCAGAACCACAGTTGACCATTTTCATCCTAACTTGCCACAAAGCAAGTTGAAGGGGATTCAAATTTATTCAAATAAAATACCACATGGCACACATTCTCACGAAAGGGGAGATAATCAAGAAAAGGCAAAATAGTGTGGTTGTCTTAATTAAAAAACACTAGGCCAGAAAAGATGTTAATGGAAAGCTTCCTGACGTGTAGGTTTGAGGTTTTCCTCACATTGTGGCCCCTGGGTGTAGGATATGGTTACATGGGGGGGGTCAAAGAGTTACATGGAAGTATAAAGGAAAAAAATCTCGAAAAATCTTCTTGTCTGAAGAAAAGCAGGGCCATGATTAGTCATGGGGCCACAATAGTAGAACAAAGTTTAACATGGGAATATAAAGAAAGAAATCTTTAAAAATCTTCTTCTCAAGAGCAGCAGTCATGATTAGTCATGGGGCCACAGTGGAAGATCAAATTTTTAATTTTTTATTGTGGCCCATTTAAAGTTTAAAGTAAAAAATGGGTAACTTATACATGTTTCTTCTGATAAAAAAATTGTGAATGTGGTTTCCTTGATTTTAACAGACCAGTTCAAGCCTACAATAGCACACAGAGATCTCAACAGTCGAAACATCTTGGTACAGGATGACCTTACTTGTGTCATTGGTGACCTTGGATTTGCCATAACGACCATGGGGTCAAAATTGATCAGGAACGGCCAATACGAGTATGCTGAACAGGCCTCTCTACAAGATGTAAGTTATGAAGCAGAAATGATAAGTTTGTAGGTTAATTAGAGCACTAGTGACTATGATATATGTATTCTAATTAGCATAGAGTGAGTACTGTTGACTTGGAGTACTTGTGATGATAAAGTTCAATTAATGCTGCCTTTATGCCGTGCATACCACATGAACATTTTTGTGTTTGTGTTGTTATGTGAAATTTTGAGTTCAATAAAAACTGCAAATTAAAGATTAAATTGCAGAAATTTCAAATTCCTAATCTACAGCAGAGTGATCTAATTATTTCATAAGAAAGCAGTGATACTGGTCATAATTCAAAAATTGCCACTGTGTTTTTATTCTTTTCTACTGTTTTTGAGGTATAATTTCTTCAATAAATTTTAACTGAAACAAAGTTACAGAAAAATACTTTATATACTCAGTTCTCATGGTATCATCAGTTCCACTGTATGGTGGTATTTTCCACAGGCACTTGTTTCTGTAATAATTTTTAACCCCTAGTATAATAATACTATTGGTTAACAAAATTATTACAGTAACGAGTGTCTATGGATTTTCCCAAAATTATCATGTTCTTTTTTGTCAATGAATTGTATGCCTCAGCCCTGTCATCTGATTTTTGCTATGTGGTTTTGGAAAAAAAGTATTGAACACACTTTGGAGACAATTTCGATAAACAGTTGGCAAAGAGTAATTTAAAAAAAAAAATCCCATTCACAATTTAATTTCCTTATTGTTGAAAATATAAATATAATGGTAAAAACTATGTTGAAGTAAACATTTCAACAGCTTTTAATTCATTTGCTTGTCATTTGTAATGTAGAATCACATTTTTTAATTAAAAAACAAGATTTTACCTCATAAATGCACCAGGCTTCCACATATTCCAAGACTACAATACTATGGGAGTCTCTAGTTTTGAAGGTAAATAAGACTTTGTTTTAAAAATAGATTAAAAAATGAATGAAGTTAGCTTGGTAAATAATTTGCATCTAAAAAGTTTGTTCCTTGAAACTTTTTGAATAGCATTTGATGAAATGTTGAGGTAAGAATTTGGAATATCTTTTTTTATGCGAAGGAAGTGCTGTGATTTTATGAGAATCAGGGTTATTTTTGCCCATGTTATTTTCACCCCATCACACATGCAAAGAATTTTGCCCCATTTAAATTCAACCAGACATAGTTGTGTTCAGACATAATGATATCTTGTTTTGAATTCACCCTTGAAAGACAAGGGTTAATGGGGCAAAAATAAATCAAGGGTGAAAATTTCTTAGCATACAAATATGAGAAAAAAAGGAATATTTCTTTATTGATTTGTATGAAATCCAAGAATAATAGCCTCTGGCAGCTGATGTAAGATAACCTTTGAAAATTTGAAGTTTTTATGTTACATGAGTTAATATATGCTTGTATGAAGTAATTTGTATATTTTTCTTCCTGAAAACAGGTTGGCTTTGAAAATTTGAACAGGAGTTTTTATGTAATGTGAATTAATATGCTTGTATGAAGTAATTTGTATATTTTTCTTTCTGAAAACAGGTTGGAACTTTAAGATATATGGCCCCGGAGCTTTTAGATGGTGCTGCAAATTTGAGAGAATCAGAAGCCTCCTTAAAACAAATCGATGTCTACTCACTGGGATTAGTGTTGTGGGAACTTGCCACCAGATGTCAGGATTTGTATCATAGTGAGTTACCAAAGGAAAAGGATACTGTGTATTTGAAGATTATTGCATTTCTTCATAAAGATTTAGGGGGAGGTTATTTGAAACATTGTTAAAAATGTATCGGATGCATAGTTTTAATTTTTTTTTCTAAACTTTTAACAGGAATTATAGATATACATATTGGCAAATATCTGTTGCTTTCCAAACATTGATCCTAATTTTAAGACTTTTTTTTAAAATAATTACTTTCAATTACTTTTACACATGTACTTGACCAGTAAAGCAGGGTTTGACATTAAGTTTCATGAGTACTAGACGGAAGTAGCCCACCATCAGTTCTTGATATCGTGATTACTTAACTAAGCGGAACTCTTTTGAGTTGGAGTTAGGAAATGTCAATTAGCTTGGGGCAATGTGCTGTTGAATACACTACGAGGTCGATCACTGTAGATTTTTGAATGACATTTGAGAAAGAGGTCCTCGTGAAGTATCTTGCTAAACGTTCGGTACACCAGGTGATAAAATTTAGGATATGCTAAGTTCTCCTGAATTACATTTTTTGTAGATATTTTCCGCTAAGCCATTTCTTCTAATAATAAATTCATCCATTTCTTTCTGACTTATGCCCTGTTCACACGGAGAGTTTAATTCACAGTAAATTAATGCGAAGTAAACTAATGCGAATTAAACTAATGCGAATTAAATTGCATTCACACAACAACTGATGTGAAGTAAACTAATGCGAATTAAACTTTTATTTCTATAGTAAGGCTATTCAGTAAGGCTATTATGACGTCATTTTCAAATCATGTCATCTTATGCAGGGCAGATCCATTTGACAATAATGTCATAGTGTCTGTACACATTTTAGTGATTAACATAATTTTCCTGTAGTTTTTCACTCAAAAATAATACAAGTACCTATATATCTAACCACCGACATGTGGCATGTGACTTTATTCTGCCATTGCGCATGTGTCAGAATTTAATTCGAAGTAGCTTTGCTTAGCATTCACATGGAGTTAATGCGAAGTAATTTAATGCACAGTTAACTAATTCGAATTAAATTAATTCGCATTAAATTCTGCGTGTGAACGCAGTTCAAATTTAATTTGTAGTAACTTACCTTTAATTCGAATTAAACTCTGCATATGAACATAATACGGAATAAGATGACTTACTTTCTGAAATGCAAACATTGGCAAATACATTGTACTTTTGGCATACTCATTGTTCGAATCATGCGATTGTCACTAGCGTAAACAAATGTTATGCCCCGAAAATGACATGAGATTTGGAGCTTTCTTGATTTTATTGCAAAAGAGCGGCAGTAAGTTAGATAATTGCGAAGTAATTGCGATACTAAGTATTGGAACTATTGGCTACGTCTAGTAAATTTTACTAACCGTGACTGTAAAATCACCAACCTAGACATGACTTGCAAATTTAATTCTTATAACCATATTTGAACAAAAGCATAGTTTCCCGCAAATGTGTAAAGATTTTTGATAGACTGTGTGATAAGTCGCAGCCAATTTGAGACTGGTTAATGGGGACATGCGAAATTCATATATAATGTTATAAGTGTTACAGAACATTCCAACAAACTATAATAAAATCACATTATTCTAATAAAATATAAGTAAACTAGATAGAAAACATTTGGTTACTATTCATGCTACTTGACACTGAATGAAGTTAGTCTTTTGACTGCGACTACATGTGGCTAAAAATAGTAATTGTGTCATGGGGAAATTTTCTTTTACTTGGCAGTGGCTAGGACAATTGACAAATAATAAAATTATTTTTAGCATATTCATTTGAAAGACTAAAATAGAAGTTTATTTTTAGTTTATCCACAATACCAGTTGGACTAGTTAAAATACATTTTACAGGACCAAAGCACTCAAGACTGGGTCATTCGGGCATGCCTTGGTGTCAAACCCTGTTGAGCTACATTTTTGTCAGATTTTCCTGTTCAGTTTGTGTAATTCTTTTCATTGAAGGTTGTCCTGTCCCTGATTACCAGATGCCTTACCAACAGGAGGCAGGCTCTCAGCCAACATTTGAGGAGATGCAGATTCTGGTGTCCAGGAACAAAGTGAGACCTAAGATGCCTGAGGTCTGGCAAAGTCACAATCAGGTAGGTACTGTCAATACCAGGTAGGTACTGTCACAATCAGGTAGGTACTGTCAATACCAGGTAGGTAGGGATGGGTATCGCCAAAACTTTCGTATTGCGATATATCACGATTTTTCCCCCAAAATACCATGATATTTTAACAAACAATTTTTACAATGATTGTAGATAAATGTTCATAATTTTTCCTAAAAATAAGCTGGAAAAACATAACTTCACTTTTTTCATTTCTTTAATAACATAATTTAAAGCATGTTTGGATGCTAGGATGCTGTTCTTTGACTGTTTTTAACAACACATTTTACACTTCCTGTAATTGTAAATTGAAAGTTTAAACAATTACATGAACAATTTTTGGAATTTATAATTATGTACCTAAATACCGGTATTTTAGTTTCCATATCACGATACATATCACGTATTTAAAAATCGTGATATACCGGTATACCGATAAAATCGGACATCCCTACAGGTAGGCACTGTCACAATCTGGTAGGTACTGTTAATACCAGGGTAGGTACTGTCAATACCAGGGTAAGTACTGTTAATACCAGGGTAGATACTGTCACAGTCAGGTAGATACAGTCACAATTAAGTAGACTTTGTCATAATCAGGTAGATACTGTCACAATCATATAAAAATAGTAATAGACAGAGTCGAGAATAGTCATGCTTGGGTGAAAAGAGTCACTATCATGTAGGTACATTCATATCTATACAAGAACAGTATTGATTGTGTAGACAAAATCATAATTAGGTGGACAAAGCCTAGTCAGGTAGACAAATTCACAATAAGGTAAGCACAGTGATAGTCACAGTCAGTTAGGCATTGTGACTATCACGTACACACAGTCACTATCAAGTAAAAACAACCATACCAATAGGCAAGATCACAGGTAGGCTGTCACAATCAAGTATGCAGTCACATTCAGATAAGGATACATGTATTGGCAATCAGGAATCAACAGGTTTCTTTTGATTTGGCTTATATAACTGATGATGCATGTATAGCCAAAGCATTGATGTAAAACATGTACCTAAATTTAAAAGCAGACATGATAGAACAGATACACCTAGTCACCTGATTCCACCTCTGGAATTTCCAGAGGTCGGTGTTTGATGCCCTCTTCACAGATTTGTATTGTTTATAGATTTTTTTTGATTACTGTTCATTATCTTCATCTTTTTCATTCGTACATGTATAACACAGCCAGAGAGTAGGAGATGCTGTAGATCAAGTAACAAAATGTGTGAAGCATAGGATTTTTTTGTGTATAGAGCGAACAGTTTTCTAGCTTGTAAATTACTGTACTAGTAAGAATCAGTAAATTCATAATGCTGTATTTGTAGGCTGTGTACATTCTGAAAGAGACAATAGAGGAGTGCTGGGACCATGACTCGGAGGCTCGTCTGACAGCAGTGTGTGTAGAAGAGAGGATACTTGATATGATTGCACTCTGGTCTCAGGAAGGCAAACAGAAAGGTAAATAATGGTCATACAGGTGAGGGACAGAGAGGGGAATCAAGGTATCACACTGGTCCTACAGGTGAGGGACAGAAAGGGGAATCAAGGTATCACACTGGTCCTACAGGTGAGGGACAGAGAGGGGAATCAAGGTATCACACTGGTCCTACAGGTGAGGGACAGAGAGGGGAATCAAGGTATCACACTGGTCATACAGGTGAGGGACAGAGAAGAGAATCAAGGTATCAAACTGGTCATACAGGTGAGGGACAGAGAGGAGAATCAAGGTATCACACTGGTCATACAGGTGAGGGACAGAGAAGAGAATCAAGGTATCAAACTGGTCATACAGGTGAGGGACAGAGAGGAGAATCAAGGTATCACACTGGTCATACAGGTGAGGGACAGAGAGGAGAATCAAGGTATCACACTGGTCATACAGGTGAGGGACAGAGAGGAGAATCAAGGTATCACACTGGTCATACAGGTGAAGGACAGAGAGGAGAATCAAGGTATCACACTTGTCGTACAGGTGAGGGACAGAGAGGAGAATCAAGGTATCACACTGGTCATACAGGTGAGGGACAGAGTGGAGAATCAAGGTATCACACTGGTCATACAGGTGAGGGACAGAGAGGAGAATCAAGGTATCACACTGGTCATACAGGTGAGGGACAGAGAGGGGAATCAAGGTATCACACTGGTCATATAGGTGAGGGACAGAGAGGAGAATCAAGGTATCACACTGGTCATACAGGTGAGGGACAGAGAGGAGAATCAAGGTATCACACTGGTCATACAGGTGAGGGACAGAGAGGAGAATCAAGGTATCACACTGGTCATACAGGTGAGGGACAGAGTGGAGAATCAAGGTATCACACTGGTCATACAGGTGAGAGACAGAGTGGAGAATCAAGGTATCACACTGGTCATACAGGTGAGGGACAGAGAGGAGAATCAAGGTATCACAATGATCATAGAGGTGAGGGACAGAGAGGAGAATCAAGGTATCATACTGGTTATTATTTATATTCAGAAGAAATATTATACATTACCTGTCTCATAAGTCAACCACAGAAAAATTAGTACAAAAACAGCATTTTGGGGGTTTTCTCATCTGAAAGCAAGTCTACCTTCAAAATCACAAGTTTTCTGAATGTATTTGTAAACATCTTTCGTGATAAAATGAGATTGGCCTAGTATGCCTAAAAAGAAGCTCTTTTGAGAAACATTTATCAATTTCGAAATACTTCAGAATTTTTAATCAGAGTTATCAAAATTATAAAAAATGTAAAACATTGATCAACTTCTGTAGTCATACCTTGAAGGAGTGACTTAAAGAGTAAAGCAGCATTGTCAAAGTATTTCTTGAGAGACATAATCAACTTCAGAGTATTAAACATCATGACATGATCAAGGAAACAATATTACATGCCAGTTTTAAAAGCACATGTACATCTTATTGTCAATGATGCATACAGATTACCAATTTTTTTTTTCTGCAGGCATGACTCCAACGATAACAACAACGAGTAACTCATTCCAGTTTTCTTCTGAGCCAGAGAGAACGGCCCCGGAAACTATAGGAGTGGCTCCATTAAGAGAAGAAACTACAACAGCCAGCTTTGCGGACAATAACACCACCAGTATGGTAATCAGCTCTCCACCAAATGGGTATATCAACTCACGACCATCATCCTGGTACAACAGACCAGGCATGACAACATCTGGCTCCACAACAGAAACTTTTGTCATGATGTCTCCCTCAGAGGAGGATATCCCTCCTCCAGTCAAACTTTTGAATGTCAACCTGGCTAAAAATAACATGGTGCTCCCTGTTCACCAAGGGAGAAACCCCACAGTGGAAAGAAACACTCATAAAAGGAGTGACGAGGAACTGAGTGTGTCTGGGAACAAACTTGTGTATAACAATGAAAGATCTGATACAGACAGTGGGCAAAGAGTGCCGCCCTTGTTAGATGATCTTTTACACTCATTCAGTGACAGCTTAGAAACATCACTAGTTCAGAACGATGTTTTAGGTCAACATAGAAATCCACCTATCCCGTTTCTACAAAATCAAGTGCATGAGAGTCGTGTTGTCAGGCCAAAAGTGGCCAATGTACCTCAAGCAATGCACCTTTCAGAACAAGAGAAACCGCACCAGAGTCGTTTCAAGAATCTGGTAAAGGTTAAAGATATTGGAAGTAAATTGCCATTTTTTAAGAAGAAAGGAAGACATTTTCATAAAAAGATAGGAAAACATGGCCAGGAGAATGCCTCAGAAGTCAGCAATTTATTACAAGATCAACAAGTTCAAAATCCAAATCTGTATCAAGATCAGCTTGGACAGCGGCCATCAACATGGTGCAGTCCTACACATGAGAGTTCTACAAACGCTATAGAGACAGAGATCAGGATGACAAATGGTAGACCATTTGTTCAGCCCTCTGATCAAAAACAGAGCAATGTCATCTATATGGCAGAAATGGGCAGGGCTAAGATGGAGACTCCAGGTCCAAGGTCAGCTGTCTTGGTAACCAGGTCAGGAGGTCATTCTAAAAGTGCATCAGACATAAGTCCTCAAAGAGAGTTCTGTCATTTCTCTAGTGTCACAGAATTGGATGATGTGTTCTCTAAGAGAAGGAGACCAAATTCCCTTTCTTTGCGAGGACACAACTACAAAGTAAAATCACCACCTAAGTCAAATACATGTGAAAGCTTTGCTTTACTGGTGAAGGATTCTGAGGATGATGGAAAAATTAAAAGAGAAAATTCATCCGAGAAAATTAAAAAGAGAGTCAAAACCCCTGTCACTCTTGCACAGAATCGACTGTCCTTGTATGATGATCGTTTGATGACTCATTATATAATGAACACTCCAGAATTTACACATAAGCCCATGAAAGGTTATTCAATCCTGGATGATGATGTTAATGCTAATATTGTTATCACCACTGAACAGAGCTGTTAATGAACCCTTTATTTCCATATTTTAATGAAATATTTCGTAAGCTTTTTAGATAATTTTAAGACAGGAAAGGTTACAGATTACAGAATATATTTTTAAACGTCACTCTAATGATTCCTATAACAATGTAAACTTCAACTTCACTGGGTTTTCTTTTTATTAAAGGGTGGGGGGTGGAGGTTAAACAAATTGGATTTGATTTGTTGATAATAATCATTATCCATTATATTGATTGTTTATTATCAATTTGAAATGTGGATCTTTTATGTTTACTATGTTTATGTCAATTTTGGGCATTCTTGTTTTTTCTTTGGTTGAAATTTTCTTTTGGATGTGAAGTCAGATTTCAATGACAACCATTGCAGGATGTTTTTAATTAACAAGATAAAGTACATGCAGTATATATACATATATATATAGTTGTGTGATTTATCAGTGTTGATCCATGATACAGTAAAACATGCTTATAATGAAGAACCAGCGACAACCAATTTTGATTTGATATAAATATACGTAATTTGTTAAATCTGTTAGGTTCATGATATGTTTTAAAACCACACGGAATAAAAATCACTTGACTGTAATTGTGAATTTATTATAAGCATGTTCGTTATAACCTTGTTTTACAGTACTAATCATGATTGATTTTTTTTTTTGAAATAAGTTGGGGGTGTAGAAAAGGCAAGAATCATAATATAGATGTATTTTACGTAAGAAGTTCCAATCATAATTCTTCCACAAAAAGAGGGCCAACAGGGATAAAACTTCAATATTTGACTGAATAAATTTCCTTAAAAAACAGAAAAGTTTTATTGAAGTTTAAGTTAATTTTTTTTTATTTATAGTGCTGTAATATGATAAAAAAAATCATCCATTGCTTGCATCAACTTGGTACAAATTACAAACTATATTTGAAAATTATGAATGACTGAAAGTATTACCACTCCAATCATACATGTCACAGCTGCATCTGTTGTTCAACACTAGTTATAATGGTTTCTGCAAGAGTTGTTCAATTTATGATGAGATCAAGATTTAAAATATCTTTGATGTCATTAGATTATAAGGAAGACTTCTGTTCACTGTAAATAGAGAAGAATGGCATTCTCTGGTGCATCTTGTTGGTATCCTATTAGTTAATTGATTGCTTATTTTTATTAATTCTTTTATGTATTAATAAAGATGTACAATAGTTATGGATATGTTTAATTTTTTGTGCACATTTTGCTTAAGAAGCAGTATTTTATGTATATTTTGGAAATAACTGTTTTTGTATTGTGATAATATTCCTTTCCTTTAGTTAGGAGTTGACTCCCCTTAGTGTAATTGACCTTTGAACTCTGTCTTTCCTACATCTTCCGTTACTGAGGTATAACTTCGCTAGTCAGTCATTCATTGCTATAAATGTTCTCCAACAAATATTCTCGTTTAATCATATGATAAACTTTTAAGCTGACAAATCCTAGGCCTCTCTTGTTTAGGTTGATTTGACTCTAATGCCTTAGTTGACATTTTCCTTAGAATTTTTTTTAATCCAAATAACATTTATTTAAATTGCTTTTCACATTGATAAATGTCAATTCATTTTTTTTTCATTTAATTATCTAGTGTTTATTGAGGCTTGTTCATAATAAGCCAGAGGAAGGTCTTATAAGTGTCCCAATTCTCTACTCATTTAATATAATCCATTTCCTGAGACTTTAAAGTTCAAGGTTAATTTAAAAAAAAATTCAAGAATAATTTTTGTCTGATATATTTTAACATTTAACAACGTTCAAATTACAATAGTGTAAGCATACATTATATAAACGTTTTGAATTTTTAAGTAGCTAAGACATTGATAGACAATCTAAGCATATACTCAGAGCTGTTAATTTTCCCGTACTTATTTTAGGTCATCTACGGTAGCAGTAAAACAACTGATCTAGATTATTACTTGTTGTCACAGTGGTTTGTATTCATAACTGCTGTACATTTTATCATATTTAATAATGGAAATCATTTAATTGTCGCTCAGTTAACATTGAAGTTATTTGAAGAAAATTAATTTGTTGAATTACTTTTGTAGCAGTATGGGTCAAATGCTGAGTTGTGGGACTTTGTTCTTGCCATGTCTAAAACATAAATTCAGAACTGGTGTGAAAAAAAGTAACGATGATAGATTAAACAGTTTAGGAACTGACAAATGATCTTATGGTAATATGGTACAAGCCAAAACAGTCTCATAATGTACCCAAAATGACCCAAATCAATTTTCCAAACTAGCAGACATGACAGAATAACAGATATTCAAAATATAATCTTTATTTGTAAATGAGAGATTGCAAATTATTACACAATGACAGTTAATTGTGTTGTTTTGATATGTTTTATTGTACAATTTTGAGCCATTAAATTATATTAATTTTTTAGCTTCATCTTTTTACACTTATTGCTTCCCATATTTTGTAATGCAGAAAAAAATATAATGTACATGGATAATGTTGTAAACTAGTGTGTAAAATGAATGTCAGTTGTAAAGCATGAGAATTATACATATTTTGTATGTGTCACATAGTGACTAGATGTGTATCTACATGTGTGTATAAATATATCAACATTTGTTTTAATTTTTTTTTTCTAAAAGAAGAAAAAGCATCATTTTGCCCATTTTTTGAAGCACAGATCTCATTAATTATCTCTGTAGCATGTAGTTTTCCTTGCAATTTTAATTACAGCAATATTTTGTCACTATGAATTGATGTTTTTGCCTTTGTTGTTTTAGTCCTCTGATCAATCTTTGACTTCCCCATGTGTAGATCTGTACATCAGTACTGTACCATTCTTTATTTGTTAGAAATTATATGTTGTGTAAAACATGTCTAGGAAAAAATTTGACAAGCTTTTGAAAAAGTCTGACATTTTCTTTGTAAACACTGTCTCAAACTTGAAAAAGAAAAACACTTTGACAATATTTTACATGCAGGTGTTATTGTACTGTAGCATGTTTTAGTATAACTCAATAATTTGTGAATCAGATTTGTAGATAAGAAGTAAGTAAAACTTGCTTTTAGAATTTATAGTTTCTGTATCAAATTCCTACTGTTAAGTCAGTGTATATGACTGTTGAGTTTTGTGAATCATGTTTTCACATTATTAACTATCTAGCGATAATGTGAATCAAGTTTTCACATTATTTACTATCTAGCGATAATGGTGCTTTTGGTTCACCTCCAGCAGTGTTGTGCTCTATTCATGTTACATTCACACCTGTGAATTTATATAGAATGCCAAATTTTTTTGTGCCTGTACTTTTCAATTTGCTTGCAATTAAATTGCATCAGTATATATATTGTGTTTGTATCTTTTTTTTATGCCCCTCTATCGAAGATTTGGGGGTATATAGTTTTTGCTCTGTCTATCCATCTGTCTGTCTGTTTGTCAGTTGGTGCTAGGGCTTTCATATTTAAGATGTCTATTCCTTGTGACAAGACCTTCTTTTGGATACCAACAATTGTAATCCATTGACCCTGACCTTAGAGTTTGACGTACTTTTGAAAAACTTTAACCTTGGCCATAACTTTTGAACGATTGGTGCTTCGGCTTTCATATTTCACATGTGTATTTCTTGGGAGAAGGCCTTTCCTTGGGCACCATTAATTTTGACCACTTGACCTTGATGTTTGACTTACTTTTGAAAAACTTTAACCTTTTCCATATCTATTCAATGGTTGCTGCTAGGGCTTTCATATTTCACAGGTATATTTCTTGAGACAAGACCTTACTGTGGGTACCAGCATATTTGATTTGCATTTGAGAAAGTTTAACCTTTGCTATAATTTAAGTTGCCATATGGGGGCATCAGTATTTCACTAACACTTCTTGTTTTTCAGTGTAAAATTGCAGTTTGATAGCATTTATCTTCACGGCTTGGCCAAGATCAGGTGCCCATTTCCAACTAAATGATGTTAAATAGATTTAACTCCTTATAGTTACATATAATCTAAATGTCTTTTGTTGCATTGCAAAGATCAGAATGAGAGCTTTCCATTGGTATATAATATCATATATATAGTATCTGCATTTTTGAAAAAACAACAGAATAAAGTCAAAGATTCATAATTTTTGAAGCGTTATGCTGTTGCACTTGATTTTTTACATTTTAAATAATGGTTAATTAAATTTATTTTGAATGAAACATTCCAAGATAAATGTACTTTATTATAGAGAAATCATTCTGGTTAAGTTTATCTTTTACAGAAAAGAAAAAGGATAAAAATTGTGGAAATTATGAATAAATGTGTGCAGATATACCTTTGTTATATAATTTAAGATTTATCAATGTTTGAATAAATGCATAATTTCTATCAAAAAAGAGCAAATATAATTTGTTCAAATTTTTTTTATTTAACTTAAGAAAAAAAGTACTATGAGAAAAATATAGTGGCTATATTGTAAAATGTGTGCATTTTGTATTTTATTTTCCATACTTTTCCTCTAATATTTTGTGTATAGTCCATAGCCCCATATTTCATTATAGTTTGTGTTCAACAAAAGAATGTAGAATTAATCATGCTCTTGTTTAATAATATTTTTGCAGTTACCAGTAAAGTAAAAAACAGTAATGAATAGCTTTTGCGATGACACCAAAAGAAGTTACAGAAGAATGATTGGTGTCCGTAGCCCTATATAGTCCGTAGCCCCAATATAATAACTTTCAGAAAAAGTCATATACATTATTGATAAAATAACTACAATACAAAAATATGTTTATTCGAACAAATGCAATGTTTTTAAATACAAATACCACTGTAATTAAAAACAAAATATCTGAAAATTAACATTTTTCAACTAAAGGCTTGCTCCTGTAGTCTATCCTGTTATGTTTGTGGTCATAACATATTTCTAAATATACATGATAAAGTTTTCCTTCTTGTGATACATACTATCCATCCATTTCCAATGATCAGCATTGGAATATTTTTTAACAGAATATTTAGCCACACAAATCCTACTTACAAAAGGGCTACGGACTCTACAAATTAAAGCAAGATGATAATTTTAACAAATATTTACTGAAAAAAGCAACTATTTTTCTATGGTTTCTCATTAAATGAAAATACTATATATGTATAGTCCATAGCCCAAGGTCTCAAAATAGTCAATCAAAAAATATCTGACAGTTTTTCTCTGAGTATTACCAAATAAGTTTGAAATTTTCATCCCCATATAAGTATGTTTAGAAAAATTGAAAGTACTTTAATGTATTTTTATTTCAAATGTCCAAATATTAAAAGTAGAAAAACTCTCAAAGATAAACAAATTTATCCATGTCCTTTATATACGGTAATACCATACATGTATTTAAATGGAAATGAATTATGTGATTTTTTTTGCTCAGACAATATTTTGTAAAGAGTTTGTATTTGAATTATACTTTTTTTTAAGTTGAATATGATAAAGATAAATGTTATGCCTGAATATGTATAGTCCGTAGCTCACTTGGGTCTCTGCTATAGTAAGAGTGAAATTTTTTTAACCGCTTGACAAAAATGGACAGAAATTTCAGACAATCTGCCAAAAGGATGTAGTGTTACATAGAACATACATGTAATACATTTCACTTGACTTCATTTTTTTGTTAATCTGCAACCAACATGGGCACCTGATCTTGGCCAAGCCGTTTACAGCTTCTGACAGGTTCTTAGAAATAATTTGTACAGGGAAATACAGTCAAACCGCATTATCTCAAACTTGATGGACTGAGAAAAATACTGAGATTTCTGAAGATTCCAGATAATATATACAAAGGAAAAAGTGGTCTGGCCTTCCAACTTTAACATATCCGTGATATATTCGAGATGTTCTAAGACTGTATATCATTTCAGAGGAAAAGAGTACATTAATGTAATTTGGCAGGAAGGTAATTACCGGTAATATAAAAACAACAAGAAGTCTGTGAGCCAATGCTCACTAATAATACTCCCTTCCTCTGTGAATAAACAAGTTCGGTTATGGACAAACACAGTGATAATCAGGAAATTGACATCGGATTTGTAAAAACTGAATCCCAACATATGCCATGCCTAAACAAAGATTGTGCTAAAATTTCAATCATCTGCAATGAGTAGTTGCTGAGAAAACTACAACTAAAATTTTTATGTATGGTACAGACAGATGCATGGATAAACAGGAAGTTGACATCGGATTTGTACAAAAATAAATCCCACTATATGGCATGCCTAAACAAAGAGTGTGTTAAAATTTCAAGCACCTGTGATGAGAAGTTGCTGAGAAAACCACGACCAAAATTTTATATGTGTGGTACGGACAGACGCATGGATAAACAGGAAGTTGACATCGGATTCGTACAAAAATGAATCCCACCATATTGCATGTCTAAACAAAGATTGTGCTAAAATTTCAAGCATCTGCAATGAGTAGTTCCTGAGAAAACTGCGACCAAAATGTGTTACGGACAGACAGACAGACAGACAGACACACAGGGGTAAAACAGTATACCCCCCTCTCCTTCGGAGCGGGGGTATAATAAAAAAATACACAATATGAAAATAAGATCAAAGGTAATATTGCTTTACCTGATGATACCTGTAGCAGATTATTGTGTCACAACTCCAGCAATATTCTCATTTTCAGTGATGATTTACTGCAATTACTTATACTGAATTTGAAGTGATTAATATCACAATACATAATCTGAAAATGATGGTAGAGCAACAATTTTACCATTGGACTCAACTAGCCACGTTTTTATCTCTCTTTTTTTTTTTTTTTTTGACCAATTGTGATGCAATTCATAAAAAAAAAAAAAAAAATTAGTGAAAACATTCTTGCATCTGTGTTCTTAATCAAATCTGCCTTAAATATAATGAATTCTTCCTTTCCCCAATATACATCTTTCCTAACATTTCCTTGAAATCTGTGAAAGAGAAACAGGAATGGGAGATAACTATAGGGGAAATGTGCCTTACTGTGGACATGTTGTATATAACTTTGTCCATACAAGGTTATACACACTGGAAACAGATCAATATATATGTGTATGAACAATTCTACATGTATGCTTATATGCCTTGAAAGGTCACCAGCAACTTAAATTAATTGGAATTTTTGCCAGAAATTGATTATATACATGTTGAATATTTGTTTCCAAGGATTTTTCTCACACATAATTTCTAAATATTCTTTATAGATCTTTATATTTAGGCCCATTCCTAAGTACAAAAGACTATTAGAATCAAACTATGAGGGAAATTTTAGAAAGACAATATAAAGCTAAGAGAAAAAGTCCTAATAACATGAGAATGGGTGTAATCTCTAATGTAGTCTCTAGTGAGATCAGTTGATCTCTCTGTGATCTTACAGTGATCTCTTGAACATCTACACTATAAGGTGTTTAAAACATTTTACATTCTCACCTTTGTGAGATTATTAGGAGATCCAAGAGATGGTGGGCAATCTTTTTCCACTCTTTCTGTGATCCTTGGACATTCTTTGTGAGACTGCTTACCTTTGTGAGACTGCTTACCTTTGTGAGACTGCCTACCTTTGGGAGACTACTTAACTTTGTGAGACTGCTTATCTTTGTGAGACTGCTTACCTTTGTGAGACTACCTATCTTTGTGAGACTGCCTACCTTCATGAGACTGCCTACCTTTGTGAGACTGCCTACCTTTGTGAGACTGCCTGCCTTTGTGAGACTACTTATCTTTGTGAGACTGCTTACCTTTGTGAGACTACTTACCTTTGTAAGACTGCCTACCTTTGTGAGACTGCCTACCTTTGTGAGACTACTAATCTATGTGAGACTGCTTACCTTTGTGAGACTACTTATCTTTGTGAGACTGCCTACCTTTGTGAGACTACTTATCTCTGCGAGACTGCCTACCTTTGTGAGGCTGCCTACCTTTGTGAGACTGCTTATCTTTGTAAGACTGCTTATCTTTGAGAGACTTCTTACGTTTGTGAGACTACTTACCTTTGTGAGACTGCCTACCTTCGTGAAACTGCTTACCTTTGTGAGACTGCCTACCTTTGTGAGACTACTTATCTTTGTGAGACTGCCTACCTTTGTGAGACTGCCTACCTTTGTGAGACTGCTTATCTTTGTGAGACTGCCTACCTTTGTGAGACTGCCTACCTTTGTGAGACTGCTTATCTTTGTGAGACTACTTATCTTTGGGAGACTGCCTACCTTTGTGAGACTGCTTATCTTTGTGAGACTGCTTACCTTTGTAAGACTGCTTATCTTTGTGAGACTACTTACCTTTGTGAGACTGCCTACCTTTGTGAAACTACTTACCTTTGTGAGACTGCCTACCTTTGTGAGACTGCTTACCTTTGTGAGACTGTTTACCTTTGCAGTCATTGAGAGAATCTACTGGGTAGAGTTAAAACTTTGAGGAAACTGTGAAGCCCTCTAGGCCATCACTGAAAGATCATAACCTTTGAAAGTTGTTAATTTTGTAACAGCAATCTCACATTGCTTGTCACCTCTGTGTAAACAGTTTTACAATAGTTCAATAAGCAATTTTTCACCAACTAGACGTTTGTGGTATTACCAGATACATTTACAGCAATAACCAACCAGTAACAAGAGAGTCTTGCAAAAAACAAATAATATTTATCAAATCAAAGTATACTTATTATTTTCAATACTTTGATTAAACCTACAAGGTCTAGTTGATGAAGGTGAATTGTTTGATTATAAAAAAATTCCACATAGTAGTCATTGGTTTGAAATAAAACAAAACTTTGTCAAAAGTGATTAATTTTAATGCATGTATGTATGAAGTATACAAGTTTAAACTAAACTCAACTCAACTATGAGTGTACAGCTACAAATATTTGGTGTAACAAAAAATAACTGGGAGAAAAAAAAAAGATTTTTGACCATGCTTTTCCTATTGAATTTTTCTTTCTAATGCACAGCAAAGGCCTTTGGATTGCTTTAATCTGACTGAGATACCAGGGATTTTTTATAATCCCTGTATGTCAGTCAGATTAAAGTGAAGGCTTGTGATGCACAGTAGAAGAAAAAAAATATATATCTCAAGGTTACTGAATCACCCTAGAAGGAAAATGAGACCAAATTGAGACAAGTAACTTACATTACAAATTAAATAAAAAAATGAATTAATCAGTACTAGTAATAAAACAAGGTTTGTAACTACATGTAAAATAAAGCAAAGTTGGTTATACAATAAAAAATAAAGCTATTATTCAGTATAAGGTAAAAGGTATATATGTGTACATGTACTAAAATTATAATTCATAAGAGATGTACATGTGTACTAAAATTATTCATGAGGTAGGCTGATAATAGATCTGATTACTGAGAAATATTTCTATGTACACATGTACCACATGAAGAAATGAACATTTCTTTCTTTCAAATGTCACTATTTTCTTTGCCCTATAGCAGTCGTCTACAAAATAAAGGTTGTGGGATGACAACATATCCTGTTACTTTAGATGTATAATTAACTGGATTCATATTTTAGTTCACCTGTTGGTGTGATAATTCATAAACACAACCAAAATATAATTTTAAGATGATGATTCTACATGTGTTAAATATCCATGATCAAATTTTAACTTCATCACCAATAATAAAAAGAGGATATTCAATGGTTTATAGTTAAATATGGAATTTATTTCACTTGTGGGTTAAGATTTCTTTTTCACAAATGCAAAGCACAAGTAATTTTTTTTTATACTCTTGTCTCATTAGTGAAATTCCATATCAAACTATAAAACATTAAATTTTCTGTTTGCCCCTATTAGCTAAGTTATTTTCATACTGTGAAAATAACACTTGTTTTCACAGTGTGAAAATAAAACCTGTAAATACATAGAGGATATTCCATGGATAAATTACAGTATCAACTATTTCAGTGTTGTAAATGTAAATAAAAATACCTATACAGTAAAAGGTCATTGCGTCAATCCCTTTCAAACTCATCTGTAAAAACAATGGTGCCACATAATCAACAGAACTCGGAACATATGCAGCTCTCTGTATGACAATCACGAGTATAATCAGACCAGTTGCATGTGATGAAAAATGATTTCTTGAATGTATATATATGTACATACATATTATCAAAATTAGAAAAGTAAAAAATTAACAATTGTAAATTCATGGGCTAATTCTTCATAAATGTACAGGCATAGCACAAATTTAGCCCTATGGAAGCACCAAACGTTTGTAAAAAATATTTTTAAAAAGTTCAGTAGGTACTTCCAGACATAAAAATAAATGAAACACGATAAACAACACAAACTCAGCCTAAAAACAAAAATGCAGAATGGCTAAATTCAGAGTGATCTAATGATCAATGACCATGGAAATGAATGTACAAGTGTCAATGCAGACATCATCCCCCCTTCCCAAAAAAGATCCTGTAGTTATCTAAAAAATTAATAAGTTTTTTAAGGGATTAAAAAGTGGTGAAAAGGTACTGCAAAACAATTAAGCAGGAAAATGCAGTTGAGGTAAAAGTAAAAATGTCTAATGACCAATACTATATACAAGTAAATCTATATACATTATTATAACAGTAACTTGATCCGAAGAGCCGTATCACGTCGAGTTGACAGGCGCGGATCATCAGATCAAACGAGACGCGAAGCGTTGAGTTTGATCTGATGATCCGCGCCTGTCAACGAGACGTGATACGGCTCTTCGGATCAAGTTACTGTTATAATGATAAATTTATTATATACCCCCCTTACAACTAGCAAAATATAGTTTAAAAAAAAACTTTTGAGATCAATTATATAAGATTTTCCTATTAAACAAAGCATTTTGTCAAGGAATTTTTTGATGCGCATGAAAAATAACGTCACGTTTCTGTGTACTACGTCATCAATTTCAGAGAGGGGTGATATGGATTCAGAAAACCACAGTGTGGTGATCCGGAAAGTCGGATCACACCGTCAAGTGATTGTACAAAATCTACAGTAAAATTGAGTGATACACACTTGGGTATATAATAAAAATGAATATCATTACATAAGCAGTATATACAGTAATTTAATATAAATCATTAAAAAAACATATCCAGAAAGATAAAGTAAAACCAGAATGCTAGAATCAAAGGGGCACAACTTTCCCATGTTAATGACTGCAGTGTAGACAATTTCAGCTTGTATTTTCAGTGAATTACTGAGGCCCAAACTGAATTTTTCTTTTACATTAAATTAGTATCTCAGATACTGTAGAAGTATTTTTTTTTCATGTGGTATTTATTTACACTAGGTATGCAGTCACAAATTTTCCGTGAAAATTTGTCCCAGCATAATTAAGGCATATAGTGGCAATCTAAGTAATTTTCTACCTGCAGATTGAACAGAAATTGTGATTCAGTGGAATTTTGACCCCGTGGAAAAAAAGTATCTTTACAGTATTTAAATTTTAAAAATCCAAATACATGTATCGATCATTAAAACTAAAACTGTCCTAATGGGACTTATACCTCTCACTGGGCAAGAAATGAAAGAGCATATCTTAAATTAAAATATATTGAAAAAGAACTCAGACATCTTGAAAAAAAAAAATACTGGAAATTCCTGTGGACTGAATGTGTTTGTAATTGGTTGAAAGTTGTAACACCTCTATCCTGAGCAACTTTTTATGTCAAAACTGAAAGAAGTTGTGGCACTGAAAAATCATTAACCCAAATAACATGTAACTTCTGAGCCAATTAAGTGAGTTAAAGTGACCATTGAAAAATCAGGTCAGAACTCTTGGTTACAAGCAATCTTCAAGTCAATATGCCCTGTAAATTTTGACATCTCTGAACCCTGTGTCCTTGACTTAGTATAAATGACCTTTGTTCAGGGTGATGATCATAATCAACTCTTAAGCCAAGTGTGATCTCCTAAAGATAGTATTGGTATGGACAAAGTTTCACACTTCAAAGCAAGTGATCTACACCTAAGTTATCATGGTGCAGGGTTAGTCACAAGCAACCTTTAGTACTTCTCTTCTTCAATACTATGGACAGGGTAAGAATTTCTAACTTCTGAAACGTGTGACCTTATCCAATTTACCATATGAAAGTTGTGGCTAGAACAATTAATAAGATACTTTTGTACTCTGTGGCCCTAGCCTTGATCAAATGGCTTTGGCACAGAGTCAAACAACACTATGAGGTTTTGAGTTTCTCAGTTTCAAAATGCAGTGTCCAGACATGTATTTTTCTCTTTTTATTCCTTAAACAAAAGTTGTGTTCATCAAGACATGTAAAAGGCCATTTTTTTTTATTTTGACAAATAAATCCAATAGTATTAGGTACTAAGTACACATGTTCAAAAAGTATATCTTATTTCTACCAAAGTTTTGGGGGGAAAAATCAAAATTTTTAGATATACTCTCCCCACAAAAATGTTAATGGACAGACAGACAGACATGGTAATTCTAGTAAATCCCCCTTCAAACTTGTTTGTTAGGGTTATAAAAAGGCTAATTTAAATTTTATACCCGTCCATAAACAAAAGCATGCCAAAATGAATACCCGTTTAAAATTACCTCCTTTGGCAATTAATACATGCATTTAAAAAATATCCTGAGTTTTATAAATATGACGTAGGGGACAGAGGTATCAATATAAAATTTACTCTATAAAGTAAATGCATTTAAAAGTCCTCAACTAAAACTGCACTTTTAGAATTCTATAACTGAATGTTAATATTTATAGAAAAAATTAAAAAAGAAACATGAATATGGTATAAAAAAATCAATATTTGTCACCCACAATCCATAGGAGCATTGAAAAAAAAATCAAGAATATGTAAAGCTATTTTGCATTAATTTTATACTCACTTCAAAAATATCAAGTAGTATAAATACATTGAATAGGCACCTTCTTTTCAACATCTCTGTTATTGAGCAATTAGAACTGTGTACACATAGTGTACACATAGGACAATTGACCCCTATCATACACCTAGTCTTACTTTCACTGAACTGATGATAGGACGTGTTGTGAACTGTATTGTTACACATAATAAACTCCCTTGATATGGGCTATTTCCTGAACAAGAACTTGTTGTGAACTGTAATTTTAAACATAATACGCTCCGTTGATACGAGCTGTCTCCTGAACAGAACGTGTTGTGAACTGTAATTTTAAACATAATAAGCTCCGTTGATATGAGCTGTCTCCTGAACAGAACGTGTTGTGAACTGTAATTTTAAACATAATAAGCTCCGTTGATACGAGCTGTCTCCTGAACAATCAGATTTTGATTTCCAGGCAGGTGGAAATAAGAAGACACCTCCTTCCATCTTTTTTCCTTCTGTAAAAGTAAAATATAATATGGATTTTGAAATCAAAAATTTTTTTTTAACATAGGTAGTTGTACACTATAAGTTTTGATTATTTTCTTATTACATGTACTTTTATTTGAAGAGAGTAAAAAATTCTGAGCATTATTTTTTCCCCAAATACATGTATTAATTTCAAAATAAATGCATATTTAATGAATGTACAGTGTTTTCTTTGTTTAACCTGCAGATGAATAAAAATAACATTTTAAAATATTTTAATACTGCACAATGTTCAAGCATATCAAGACAGATTTAAATACTGCTTACATTGACAATCTTTGTATCAAGGTTATCTGGAACATGGTAGTGTATGTTCCAGACCTCAGCCTCTCTCCAGGCATTGTCAGTGTTACACGGATCATCCATGTAGCCCTTGTAAATTATCCCAGAGGTAAATCCAGTGAAGGGGCCAGGATGGGGCTCCACAAACTGCTCAAAGAACTGAAAAACAGAAAATTCAAAAGTCAGTGAACACAACATTTCCTGTTCTGGGGAGAAGCATACTGCCACTACAAAACATGCACAAATATATGTAAAGAAGTTACAAAAAATAATTACATGTATTTCCGTTTCATCTTTTTAATATTTTAGTGAGTAGGAGGAATATGAATCAAGTATCTGAACAACGGTACCAAAATATAATAAAGTGCATGTCCACGGCACATGATACACCCATCAAATATTGTCTAATTATCATATTAAAAAGATGGACATGACTGCAATACCATAATATGTCCCATTTTAAAAAGGGTGTATAAAAATCAATTTTTAATAGTTATAGAATATAGAGATCATTGCTGGTGACAGAAAGAAAGAAAAGAAACAAACATCAATGGGAACAATGTATGAATTTCGTACCTCTACCATTTGATTTTCCGTCATTTGTTCATTGATTTTTACATTTTTCTGACCAAACACTTTAGCCAAAAATTTCTGGCACACAGCTGAATAGAGAGACATGTGTCCATGGTCTTTTCCCTACAAATTAAAGGAAAAATAAACTTGATACAAGGTCATCCTCAATTCTTAGCACTAGTATCAAATTTTAATGACGTCCCTGAAATTATCATGTTAATTTGTTTAAACCAATGACTCTAGCTGATATATAAAAAGTACTATCACATAAGCATAATGAATACTGATGTTCATTTAAGGTAATTACAGTTTTTTTTTGTTTGTTTGTTGTTTAACGTCCCTCTTGAGAATTTTTCACTCATATGGAGACACCACCACTTGCTGGTGAAGAGCTGCAAATTTTGATCTATACTCAGCACTCAGGGCCATTGAGCAGTGAGGGATCTTTTTCATGCCATCATCTACTGTGACATGGGACCTCTGTTTATATGGTCTCATCCGAATGACCGGTCTCCACTTCCAACAGTGGGATTGTAATTACATAGTTATTATATAAGACCATATAAGAAATATTTAACTGAATAAACTGCCAATAAAAAAGTTTTGTAAAACTTGTTATCTATGTATAGATCATATTAGAAATTTTTAATTGCATAAACTGCCAACAAGAAAAGTTGTGTAAAACTTGTACATGAGAATAATAATAGAATAAAACATACCTCAGGCAGAGTGAGCTCCCCTGATGCACTCTTCTGTAGTACTATAACCTCCATGACCTTTTTGTCATTGACCTTGAGGAAGCTGTCCTGTGACTTGTATCGTTTCCATCTGGAGATGACCACCTTCACTGAGTGGTTCGGACCCCATCTCCACAGCTTGCCCCTCCCACGAATACCTGTTCGACCACTAGGATTCCTATACAGGTCAAGGACAAATAAGTTAGCACACAATGACCAGTAGATTATGTCACTAATTACTTACACATGTACAAATAAAGCATTTAATTCATTTATAAAACATGATAATTTCAAATTCTTTAGAGGAAGGAGGATTGATTCGGGGGGGGGGGGGGGGGGGGCATTAAAAAGAAATATAGTAATTTCACAGAGAATATCACCAATACAGGCACATCTAAAGAAGTCCTTAACTTAAGGATCAAACTGAGTGTTTTGAAGTGGATTAATTGTGTCACATTTGCAGATGCTCACAATGATCACTTTATCACTGTACAGCCATAAATGATTCAAAGAATTTATTTTTCATTACTTTGTAAATTAACTTGCATGCATAGTTTTCTTTAGTAATGGTATCGATAAATTCTCTAGATATGATTTTTAAATAATACTGTAGCACAACTCACAGTGGTATATTGTAGGAATCCAGTGCATATTTAATTGGAACACCATCTTTGTCAATCCACGACATGCGATTGATCTCCAAATTAACATCATTGATATTATAGCTGGCCACTACGTTCCACAGTGGTTTGTGAATGGTCTGAGACGACAGGATACTGAGACGGTCATCCTGACCCAGACTCACGTCCTCCAGCTTATAAATAAGGCTACCAATACAAATATACCACATGTAAACATTATTTTTCTTAAACACGGTACATGTGAAAATTATCATTTATAAAAGATGACTTATTCTTGTTGATGTACTATAATTTTTTGTTCTGTTTACTCAGTAAAGGGTTATACTGCTATGGACATGTATGGAGAAGCATACATATTGATGTCAATAATGAAGGATGTTTATTTTTAATTTCATTGTTAGATCTTATTTTCTAGACATTAAGACAAAATTCCACTGACTCGATGTAATCCACATCTATCAAAGGCCGCACGTCTACTGGGTACTCTTCTATAGGTTTGGTGTACAGAACAGGATCATAGGCAGCAAATGTCTCCTAAGATTTAAAGCATTACACAATAATAGCTGGTAACTTCTTAAGATTTAAAGCATTACACAATAATAGCTGGTAACTTCTTAAGATTTAAAGCATTACACAATAACAGCTGGTAACTTCTACAAATTGCTGAGTTACACAGTGCAGAAATAGCATAATTATGGGTATAATATATCAAAGATATCTCCTATCAATATTTTAGTAAAAATAAAAAGCAGCCCTAGAAAAGATCTTAAACATTTCAAAAAATAAGATCATGACAAACCTCCCAGTTAATAAATTTGTCAAACACTGGAAACCTCTGTATAGTTGTGCCTGGGTACGGGGATTCTCGACTGGCCATGTGTAGATTGGTTGCCTTCTCCAGTTCTGGCCGTTTTTTGGGGTCTGTAGTGAAAGGCAAGGAGAATGAAGGCATCAGACTTATACAGGGTTAAAATGATATACTTATCAACAGATTCACATACTGTGGAGTCATTTTAATTTGTGGGGGTCAATTTACGTGGGCAGCAAAATTTGATTGGTTCGTGAGGAAGTAATTTTGTGGGTAACTTGTTTATAGAGAAGATTCAATGAAATCAATAGGTTGACATTCATGGGGATGTAAATTTGTGGGTAAGGGTGACAAATGAAATCCACAACATTGGTCACCCAAGAATAATGATGATTCCACAGAAATATATCGTGGACAAATAAAGTCTTTACACTCTAAACAACCCATGAACTGCATACCAAAGCATTTTCTTGTTCTGAAACAACAGTCACTTCATATTTAATCTTGGCCTTTGCTTTCCCATTTAATGAAATGAAATAACTTAAACTCATTGAGTGAGGGAGACTAACCCATGATGTCGATTTTGTGATGAACCTGTTCCAGGGCCATTTCACAGCTCATGATGTGTCGCTCCAAACTTGATAGTTGTTCAGTAAGCTTATTGTTAAACTGCATCTGAAGTAATGTCTGTGTCAAAAGCTGTTGGATTCTGAAAAAATAAATCTTTATTATCAGTAGGATAATTTAACCATGGAGTCCAAATATGACCTAAAAACGGTACTTGACAAAAAATTCATCCTATGAATTTTAATAAAGTAGAGAGTCTGAGGGCAATAAACTTACAAAATGACTTTATGCTTAATAAATTTTTCTACAGTGCAAGTCATTCTTAACCAGAGAAGCAGTTGATTTAATGAAAGCCACAGTTGTCAAGTGCAATAGAAATTAGATTTTCTCCAACTGGAAATCAAATAAACATGTACGTCTTACTCCAGTGGTAAAACAATAAAACACGAATGAGTCTTACTCCAGTTGGTAGCCAATAAAACATGAGTGAGTCTTAATACAGTTGTTAGCCAATAAAACATGAACGAGTCTTACTCCAGTTGTTAGCCAATAAAACATGAACGAGTCTTACTCCAGTTGTTAGCCAATAAAACATGAATGAGTCACTACAGCTGTAAATCAATAAAACAGAAACATGTTTTCCCCAGCTGTATGTCAATAAAACATGAATGGTCTTACTTTTGTTCCTGCTCCAGAGGTCTTTGAGAATTTATATCTTCCTCTTTCTGCTGTTTCTTCAACTTCTTCATTAACGTTCTCCAAAATGTGAAGTCTGAATGTTGCACCACTGTCATTTTATTGTCATTCTGTTGAAATCAAATAGGGTAAATGGAAGTTCATCAAGGTTACATGTAATGGCACATCCAATAACTTGCACTATATATAACAAATCAGAAAATCTAAATGACAGGACATCATTATTACTAAACAAAATATACAGGCCAGAAAGCAAGTCTATTGTTGAATTGATTGGACAGTATTGATAATTATAGGAAACTAAATTTGATTATTCTATACTGATTTTTAGCAAAATAAAAGGTACCGGGGTTCTGAATATTCTGTTTCTTAAAATAAAAGTCACTGTAAATTCCTTATTTTACACGAGTACTTAATATCGCGAAGTGGCCCAAAGGTGTCAAACCGTGAGAACAATAATTCGCGAATGGGCGATTTATCTAGAGATTTTACATACATTAAAGCACCATAAAAATAAAAGCGAGTAATTTTATTTCGCGAGTGGTGCTTCTCACATAATTACGCGATAATTTATTCCTCGCGTATATTTAGGAATCTACAGTACTCTTTGCTGCCATATAAAACAAATTAACAATCTATAGTAGATTTTATTTATTAAAGATGGACAAACAAAACAAGCAAGAAGTACGACAAACAAGAAAGTGAAAAATTAAATCACAATTATGATAAAATAAATTTCTTAAAGAACAAAAAATTTTAGTACCTTAGCCAATTCAGTGTGTTTGACACAACAGCTGGAGCGACAGATCCATTTATAAATCCATGTCACAATCTTAAATATCTGCTCCAACACCATGATGAGATAACTGAGGAAATTCAGGGGGGCGGGGAGCCTGAGGCGAGTCTCAAAGTCTACAATCAGACTGTGGAGCTGGAACTTCCACAGTTGTTCCGACGCTGCCTGGATCTTAGAAGTGGTGGCACTGCAATGTTCAAATAGTTATCATTTATAAGTACTTTTGTATATAACTGTGTTTCTTTTTTTATATAAATTAAGGAATGATGCATGATTCTTTCCAAAGAAATATTGAATTAAAATCAAACCTCTTTATCTTAAACTCAATGGGACTGAGAAAAAATTCAAGATATCCATTTATTTGAGATATTGAGGTTGAAATGCATAGAAAAAGATAACTTGGGACTTCCAACTCGCTCCAAAATATCCATGATATTCGAGATATCAGTGTTTGAGATACCAAAGTTCAACTGTATTCATAAAATGGTTCACTTTAAAGGAACAAAAGGTTTAGGCCCATATGGAATCTTCTAAAAAAAAAGCTTTGATTTAGATGACTCCTGGTCTAGGGGTAAAAATGACCAAAACCAAAAAACAAAAAACAACAAACAAACAAAGAAAAAGGAAACCCACAATATGAATTACTTTTTTCATTACCTCCCTGTAACTTTTCAGTAGGAAAGACTAAAGCTGTCAGCTAACAAGCTTCATTATATTCATTACATTATAACAGAAACTTTTTATATCAGGTTTGAATCCCTTTTTATATACAATATGTAGAATTTTTACTTTCAGTTTTGCCTTTCTGAAAATTTGAAATTTGAAACATATTCATTTAAATTCTGAGAATGATATAATCAGTGGATGTATGAAATTTAACTAAGGATACAAATACCTTTCTAAGCAAAAGAAAATCTAAAAGTCTGGGAATACAGATATATAAACAGATGAAAGAGAAGCACTCAACAAAACTTTTTGAGCATTTTTTGCTTTAGGATATATGATGAAATATCTTGACTCTGACCTTGAACTTTGACCAAGCCTCTATCTTTGTAGCAAATATGAAGTCTTCAGGTTAATTGGAACTTAAGTTATCACATAAAAGTGTTAACCAATGGACAGACAGATGGACACAGTAATTTCTATAGGGCACCAGCATCATGATACAGGGTCACAAAAAATTATCAAAAACACCTCCTTTGCCAATTGTCCCTTCATACTGAACCTTTGTATTTGAACACTGTAATGATACAATAATAAGCATAATTACCTGAAGAGGGCATATAGCAAGGTGATGAAGATGAGCTTGGTTAGGAGGAGATATTGTATAGTGACGGCATATCCCCCAAAACTCCTGTGGGGACATACTGCATAATCATGGGAAAAACGCACTTTGGCTGTAAATGAAAATACAGAATTCAGAATTCAAATATACAGACACAATTCAAAGCATAACACTTATTTAAATTTTTTAAGAGAAAACTTACATTTTCATTCAGGAGAATTGATATGTTAAAAATCTTATAATTAAAAATATACTAGTATCAATTTCTGTTAGCTGGTAGCCTGGTATACTCACTGATATTTCGATTCCAAAATGAAGCAGCAGCATCTACATGAAATTAAGAAAAGTGAGTGTATAAGTAGATACTAAATAAAACCACTGTATCTTATTGTGAGCAAAGTTGTCAAAACATTATACTTAGTATTAATTACAAAGATTTTCATAATCAGTATACCAGTATGAGAGAGACGTTTTACTATGTTTCTAAAACATGATTATTTTCTGTGATGCTTACCATGACACACTCGTGTTGTCTGATTGTCATAAAAAGAAGTGCACTCCGGAGTACCTGGAAAATAACAAAATTAAATCTAAAATTTAAAGTCAGAGCAGAATTTCATAGGTATAAATTATAAAGTTAGTAATTTAAGAAAGAACAAAGATACAACATAACATTAATATGTAGGGCTTTTTCACGAAAAGTCTGGACTTCTGGTGTTGCTAACAAATAAATTATGCTTTGCCTCTTTTGTCAAAAAAATCTGTGTGTACAGAACAAAGTCAATGAATGAAATTTACCCAACTTTTGTTCAAAACTTGAGAGCAAATTTCACTGTTTCACAAGTTGATGTGACAAAAGTTAAAGCATATTACAGTATCATGGATATTTGAAGTGAACTTTGTTAATAACTACACAGTTGATTTATTTTGAAAACCGTATTTAATGCACATTTTGATTGATTCAGGCGAAGAGGGCCGTGTGTTCCCATCCTTTATTGGAGGCAACAATTTTTTTTATCAACCAGTCTACTGGAACAATGCAAATTTATGCATATTGAGACCCAATTGACACCAATTATGAACAATGACATTCTGAGTATTTGGGAAATATCAAGTTTTTATACTTACATGTAAGATGCCTGAATTGTCATTGTCATTAAAGTTTACTTCATTGTGATTGTCCAATTATCTTAACAATTAAATTGTACTAATGGTTGCAAAACTGTCCAAATAATTTTTTCATTTAATAAATAAACTTTTTGCCAGAAGACAAACATGCAAAACCTTCCTCTTTGGGCAACATTTTTGTCTCAAGGTCCATCAAATTATATATCACCCTCATACTAAGTCAATAGCTGTATATCAATTTACACTTTTTAATCACAAACCCTTCATCCTCCAGCCTAATTTGATGCTCTTATCATCATTTTGCTAATCAATCTTTCATACCATCAACATCTTGATCATCATAAATTCATAACCTACCACCATCAAGGTCATCAATTTTGGTGAGAAACATGGCAAATAAAGCTCTACTGATGGCCATGGTTATCCCGTACTCTGACAACGGATAGTTAGGGTACAGAGTAGCCTGGATAGCTATACCTCCAGACACCATGATGATCAGGAACATCTTGAACCAAGTGATGAAGTCATATCGAATCTAAAAAATAATATAAGCTCACAATAATGCTGAGAAAGAACAATTCTGATAATTTGGTACCTGCTATAACACATTGTGCATTTAGCTAACATGTCTCTTAGACATTTTTTATGTATGTGTTCAAAAATCAATACAGATATAATCATATACACTTTATCATAGATATGCATGTGACAATTATGAAAGCGTATGACAATTATTAAAACTACAGACATAAACTATACCATTCTCTTAACACTGATCATCATGGGCCCCAGTATAGGGCTGATAGGGAAGAAGATATTCATTGTTCTGTAGTAGAAGTAGATGAGGCCGAGACTCATGACAAACTTGGCAGTGGTATATCTAACAGAGGGAATGTATCGAGGAATGATACGGATGATTCCGATGACCATTAGGTACATAAAGATCAGAATTATCTCCACAACCGTCCAATGAACCGTCAGCTCCTTGTGGTTCTGTAGATAAAATATATATATATTTGTATTATTGAATGAACTACTGATGAATCATCTTCTCTTGCATTCATTAACCTGACCTTTTTCTTCATGATTGTCTTCCGAACGACTTCAATCCACAACATAAATGTCCAAAAGTATAGAATGATGTCAATTTGGATGTCACCACAGGACGGGATAATCACAGCCAGACTGAACAAGAGTAGATACAGGACGTAGAAAAACTACAACAAAAAAAAGAAAAAAGAAATTAAAAAAAAAAAAGAGTAAGATGAGTAAGATACGAAGTTAAAGCCCTAAAATACTATGTTGAATATGTATACATGAGTTTTCAGAGAAAATACATATCTGCCTCAAAATGTTTAGGGAATTTTTAAATTTGAAATCATTATTTATTTTTATCTCACTAACTCATTTACAGACCTGCCTACCCTTTTCATTGCGAGGGTGTAATTTCAATACTCAATAAGGTGGAATTTCAGAGGAAAAGGCGTACTTCTTTATGTTCCCTAGTTTGGTGTTTTATAATGATACTATATTGTCTAAATAAACCTAAAATTGTACATCATTGAACAAAGCAAATATGAATGTTTCTTTTTCAAATCATTTATAGACAAAAACCCCCTTTGTTGTAAAAACTGGTATCCTAAATGCAGTCATATCAAACTTATTTAACTTTCATTCCTAATGAACGTTTGGAAAATTTTTTAGCAAATCACATAATTCAGAGTTTCAATTCCATATCAATACAAATTCTACATTATTCCACTATTTCGTTTTTCTTACATTTACTTGTCTCTATGTTGTTCTAAGCAATGTAAGAATAAACGGAATGGAAAATTATACTCACTTAGCTTATTGCACATTTCATTCAATAGTTTTTCTAATCTTTGGCATGCCACCCATTTAAAAGGCATAACTACAAAGTATATTACGTATGTTGTTTGTATCGTAAAAATTTTTTTGCGTGAAGAACTGAAACCCTCTGTTAATTAGTATTATTTATCTTCTCTTTTCATTTAGGAAAGCCTTTACTTTAACTCCAAAGTTAGCCTTTCATTAAGTTGTTTAGGGAAAATAATTAAAAGCATAAAATTAGTTTTCATGGCGTAACAGCGTAATTTTGTGGTAAAAAGCGGAAAAATTATGCCAAAAGCGGAAGGGTAGGCAGGTCTGCATTTACATTGTGATATCGTGCATAGGTTTATTTTGTATGCAATCTTACTTTTACTAACAGGATTTTAAAAAGCATGAAATAAGCATGTTTAAAAAAAACTTTATAGCAATGATAAAGTGAAACGAAAAGAATTTAATTTTGAATGAAAATGCACTTTGCTTAAAGAGCAAAATAAACATCTTACACTGTATTTTTTTTTTTTTTGATTAAAAAGGACAAAGAGTGCTTTACATGGAAATATTTACCAGATCATGACATTAAATGTAAATAGCACAAATTTATAAATGTGCACAAACCTGACTGATGTAAAACTTGACAATGGGGGCACTGTAGAAGTAGTAAAACTGGAGATAGATTGGAACTTTTAGGTTCTGTTTTCCATAAGACAGCATCTCCTTCACATGGTACCGGACATTTGCTTTTCTGCTTCTTTTCTACAAATTGAGATGTAAGTCTTTTTTCAATTGAAAAATTGAGTCTGGATTTCTAACATTTTTTTCCCCTTTTATTTTGAGATTAAAAGTATATAAAAGTGTCACATATCCATTACAGATTTTTGTTGGAGTGTCCCTCCTTTCACAATTAGATACATTGTAACGTACCCATTTCTCTTCTCCAGATAAAGGCATTGTCTCCGGTACCTCTAAATGATCCTCATCTTCTTCATCCTCCTCTGTAAAGCAGCCAATCAAATTATGTGTTACATAGGAAGACACATTAAAACACTAGTCAGCAACTACAGTATACACAAATAAGTCTGGTCTGTCATAACATTTATGTAATTAATATAAAATAAAAACTCCATATTTTTTTTTTTAATTTAAGACCATCTGTTCATGAAATTTTCATTCTCATGTACATGTATATTGTATTCTGAGAGATTATATATTACATCAATAACTAAAATTCGTCAAAATTTTGTCTTATTTATAAATACCAAATAGCTACTTCTTGAAAGTAAGGTGTGGTGAAAATTTGGCAATCTACAGTACGTTGTATCTTTACCTTCCCTAATAGCAACACTGTTTTTCTTGACATCATATGTAATCCAGAAGAACATTGGAAGGATGAACAGAACACACAAATAAATCTGAAAACAAAAATAATATTACAATACACAGATATCATCTGAAGAAAGCAGGTTGTGAATTCATTTTAATGTATTTGATAAGAGAAAACATCTCACCTTTAACCATTCTGGAAGTTTGAAGATTCCATAGTCAACCTCTCTAATTCGCAAGCTGCCATGCCATCGATGCATTAGCCATTTTTGACAACTCTTGTGTGCAATGAAGTACTTGTTTCTACATAGCTGTGCCACTTGTGTAACGGTTTTGTTGCCAAATTCAGGGAGTTTGTCATCCAGCGATGCAATGGCATGAAGTGCCGAATCATTGTAGCTTATACTCAACAACTCAACAGCACGCTCCCCAAATACTCTGAATACAATAATATACAAATAAATCAATACTGTAAACCAACTTTTATTCGCATGTGAGAAAAAACAGCAAGTTTCGCAACCTACATACTTTAACACCCCAATATTAATTGCAGCGAACCATTTATTTTGCTTTGTATTTAGAGAGAATATTTCCTCAGTCACGAAAATTTATAATCGCGGATTGATTTCAAACTGACAAATCGTGAATAAAAATGACGTGAATAATAGTTGGTTTACAGTATTTACTTTAATCATTCATACAGATCTTTTAAAATTTGTGTACACACTTATGATTGTAAAAATTGGATAGGCTAGAAGAAACATTTTCTTCCATGATCACCTTGACCTACATAGCATTCTCTTTCAGTTGTCTTTTGGTGTCCAGATCCTTGACCCACTTTTTGGACAGCTGGTGCCAGATTCGGCTGATAATGAGGGCGGTCACCATTGGCTGCTCAGACTGCATCCACAGGGATTTCACCTGCTTGTGATTGTTAGTGAGTGTACCCCAATAAATCAGGGCCAGGAGGGCCTAGAAATAACAACATTAATACTCAAACCATGTGTACAAATTCAAAATCAGGAATACTTTGTATTATTTATGATGACATAATCTAGAAATCTTAATTATACATACAATGTCATGTACAATAGAAAATAACAACACAGATTTTATTAGTTGAAAGTTTTTGGTGTGCTTTTTTTTAAAGAACTACTTACGATAATACATGTATCACAATCTCACCTACAATACACCACTGTACTTATTTTTAAATGCATGGAAGACTTTGACCTGCTTTCTAATTCATTATCAACTATCGCTAATCAATTATAAACTAATCTAATAATTACAAGAAGTTTAAAAACTAATAACATTTCTTACAGCAGGGATCTAATAAAATAGATTGTACTAAAAGGTGACATATTGTTGAACACAGTCAACAGTTTTGTTCTTTGAAGCTATAATCCAAAGAAGTCAGAAAGTTTCACAGAGCTAAACAAGAGTCTTTAATTAAGAGGTGAAAGCAGACATAGAAGAACAATTACCTTTCGTTCAGCAGCCCCTTTGTCACAGACATACTTCCCAGAAGCATTCATGGAGAGATCGTATGATGAAACTAAATTTTCTAAGCCTGTCAGTTTGTACAAAATTTGGTTCAGATCCGAGTTTTTGTCCATCAGGAAGTACTTATCCACGGGGTAACATGTTCCCTAGTAAGACAATCAGTGTGGGCATGATTTGTCAAATCTAATACACGTAGCTGGTTTAGGTTGAAGATATAAAAAGTTATAGTGTAATTCAATACATGTAACATATGGTGAGTGAAATTCAGAGAGAAGTTTATTATCGTTATTTCAGCAATTAGTGCTTAGTTTTCATAAAAACTTTATTTGATAAATTCATGTATGCTAGCTGCTAATATTGGATAATTATGTAGTAAAATAATTTTGATAAAATTCTAGTAATTTTGATTTACACAATCTGTGCATGTATTTGCTCAGTTTTGACAATGTCTACAGAAAGTAAGTCATTCAAAATGGCTAAGGGTATCCCAGAAAATCAAGATGTACAACATTTAATCAGAAAAATAAAATGTTATCAATGTAGCATTCAAAATGATTCAGTCTTTATGAACATACTGGAATTTTGGCAAGAACTCCTTCCAGACAGACGTGACAAAAGAATTCTGGTTTTTCCAGTTGGTTGAAGAGATGCAGCAGTTTTTTGTGGTTGAGGTATTGATGGAGTACAATCGTCTTCTTCTCCAGAAATAGGTCTAGGAATTTCTCCCGACCCTTCTTTAGTAATGCTCGATCAAACAGCTCAGGGGTAATCTGTACAAGCAGCAATACACGGCATATTTACCTTACTCAATGGACACATTCTTGGTCTTGTTAACACAATTATTTAATTTACCATGAATTCATATCACTTTTGGGATATTGTTTTGACATATTTTTAATTACATTGTGATATTTTTAAGAAAAATTCTGAGAAAACTGCTTAGGCAAAGTAAAATGTATTTAGCTAGAACAAAAGCTCACCAGAAAATGACCCTACAAATTTATAAAAAGGGTAGTGCAGCTATATGAGAAAATATTGAAACAGTGGCTACCTTTATAGATTTCCAGGCATATTTCCTAAATATTCGAGACTCCGCTAAATCACATCTATTCCAATCCATACAAAGCTTCAAGTCCGACTGAAACTGTTCCTCAAACTGAACACCTTGCTTCGTTCCTTGTGCTAAACACAAAAACTCTCCAGATAAAATGGAGTTCAATATTTTGCTCTTTTTAGATATTTATTATAATTTAATGTTTTAATTGATAGATGCTAGAAGTACCAGTACTTTATTGGAAATGAGGAATATATGTTTCTTCCTCAATGTTTAAAAAATATCTATCCCTTTATCATGTTTATTTTTAAAATAAATGAGAATTCTGTCTAGCTATACAGTCTGTATACTAAAGATAGATGTAATCCTTAATTTTGTTTATAATTACATTCAAATAGGGCCAAAAGAATGTATTTGTCCAGATTTTTGAGGGCAGATGGATCAGCCTCTATATCCAAAATGGTAATGCACTTCCGGTTGTCCTAAATAAGAAAAAGTTATATTTAATAGAGATAAAAAATAAATAATTATATCAAAATTTACAAAATTTAAACTATAGTTGCCATTACAAGCACTGATGGCCCTACAAACACACTTTAGAAAGAACATAAGTTGCTTGTAGGGATGAATACAAAATAGGAACAAGTCTGTCTATTAATGTAATGGAATAAAATACTTTGAATAAAATTAAGAACTTTATTTTCAACAATATTTCTCCATTAAATTAAAATTTATTTGAATTACCAGGTATTTGTTAAGCATTCTATGATCAATGAATGATTTACCTGAAGTGCCAGACTGGCACACTCAATTATTAAGTCTCGGCAGTGATTCCTGGCTGGTTCATCGTCCTGGAAATCGTTGGGGTAACACACCAGCATCCTCTTGATCAGCTCCTGTTTCAGGAAGGAGTCATGCTCATCTCCTGGGCTGTAGTTTCATTAAAATGTTTAAAATCACACATAAAATTTTTTAAGAAAAGAAAAATATGGATGGTACAATTTGCAAGTTAAAGATAAGGGACATAACTCTTAAAGAAGAAATTAAATTTTATAAGTTAAATCTTACTACAAAATTTTTTCATTGAACACAAATGCAATAAGGTCAGCTGCCAGTCCTGTTCCCTTGACGACGAGAACAGGAACCTTTCTCCTTAGAAGGTCTACAACATGCTCGATGTCAATAGGTCCACCCTGTATCAGTAATCCTACCATTGGGGTACATGTACCGCTGATAATATCTGTGTGAGTGTGGAAATATGAAGCATCCTCTAGATCTGTTGAAGTAAATATGATAGTATCAAGAATTAAGTGATAACAAAGACACTAGCACAAACTAGAAATATGTCCAGAAGACATGAATGCTCTGTCCAGGGTTCATTATCAAAGCAGCATGAAAAGGATGACTGCACTTAAGGACATGCGAAATTTGTGACAAAATAAACTTTCAAAACAAGTATTTTTCTTTTAATTGCAGGAATAGTCAACATACAATCTACAACTTTACAAAATATAAATGTATGTATTTACGAAGTACGAATCTGTTTTCAAAGGCGGGGGTCATTACATTTTCTTGAATCTCTGTACCATAATGAGGACACCCACTTTTTCACTGACTTCATACATAGTCAGCGCATTTTTGTCTATTGTTCTTCATTTAACAGTAGTTGTATATTTGCATTAATAATGTTGTGTTAAAAGGAAATTAATACACAAACATGCACTCAAGGTTTAAAAAGAAAAAAACTGCTTCTTTTTACATTTACTCTCTCTGTTGTAACAAAGGGTTGTGACATGTTGAATATTATATTTCACCACATGATTTCTTACTTCAAGTAACTTTGTGAATGCTTCATTTCATCATGTGACTTGTAATGTAGCATGTTTTGTGGTAACTAGGACATTGTGTTCAAACGTGAAATTATCAGGTACTGATATGAAACCTTCTTTATTTATATGGACAAAATAATCATGCTCATATTGTTAATTTCATTTTGAAACCTTTGTAAATAGTGCACTTGTGCCATACAAAATCGAGAGGGAGATGGGAAAGAATGATCACATTTTTTTTTTAAACATGTCATTGTTATTTATCTAGTAAAATTTTAGACCCATTTTTACAATGTTAGCTCCACCTCTCATGCATACCTAATGTATAATCAAGGCCAGGTGAGTGGAAATTCTCTATATTTGAAAAGCAACAAAAAACAGAGAATTATTTTATTGTATCATAGTGTAAAATCATTTTCAGATTTAAATTTGGTTCCAAAAATCAAAAGTCATTGGGAAGGTCAAGGTTAAAAAAAATGGACACCCTTGATAAATTCTCATCAAATAATAATTATCTGTGCATAAGCTTACATAAAAATTTCTTTGAAAGTGAACTAAACACGAATTTGAGAAAAGTGAGGTCAAGGTTAAAGGAAAGGTTGGGATCAAAAAATGTTGATGTAGTTGAATAGCCCTCATCAACATGTATCAATATAAGAAATTTGATAAAAAATATCTTGAATACTTTCTTTGAAACTGAGCTAAACACAAAGTGTGACAGAAGGACAGAGGGATGAAAGGACAGAAGAATGGAAGATGGACATGACAAACACTATATGCCCCAGCCATATTCATGGCAGGGCATTAAAAAGCATGCATAAGGAAGCTTTGTATCATTTATAATCATGACACATGCAATAAAAATATGACCATTTTTGTAGAACATACTTAGAGTGGGGTCACTCAGGTTCAGTTTTCTGTACTTTTTGCCTCGTCCAATAGGAGTGAGGAGCCTTTCCTCAATTTTGTATCTCACTGACATGTTTTCCCTGTGGTCTTCTATCCCCTCCAGAAGAATGAAGTGAGAGTGCTCTGCGTTCAGCTCAGAAGCATGGCGTTTAGCTCTAAGTCCTTTGTTCTTCAACTGAACTACCACATCGTGCTGAAATAGATGTTTCAGTAAAAGTTAGTCAATTGTAAGAAATCAAGAATACTACACTATTACATGATCAATAGTCAATACATATAATATGTTTATATATAGTTATCATGTGACATTCTGTGGTCACATTACATCAGCCAACATCAGGCTTGAAGGACTAAAAAAAAAAATACTGTGAAATCACCTATTTTCATGGGGGTTAATCTTCATTGTTTTTTCTTGGTTTCTTCAACCACAGTATCAAATTCCCACAAACCAATATTTTTCCTCATACCATGAAAATTTGACCCCACCAAAATAAGTGATTTTACAGTAGCATGTCAGGATTTTTATGTTATACACTTGAAATACTTTAAGAAATAGGGTTTAAAATATCAAATCAATTCTTGTAATCTTAATTAAACTTCAATATTTGACTGAGCTTTTATTTAAAAAGTTAATTTGCAGAATCAATGATACTGGAGATTGCCAAAAATTTAAGCATACGTAACACATCATTGGCATGATGTAAATGTTTCACGATAGCAGTACATTAAAACACAGTTAAGCAAACACACTTATAATGAATTCAAACTCTTAATGAATTCATGCTTATAATTAATTCACACTTTATATTGTGAAGTGATTTTCATTACAAGTACTTTGAAAACTGACTTGTGGGATATAAGGAATTATGTTTATAATGAGTCCAAAATCTCTGGCACTTCAGTGACTTCACCATAAGCATGTTTTATCGTTTTGACAAAAAGGAATTGGTTGTTGACATATCAAACAGTGCAAAACTCTGTATATCTTGAAAACTGAGTGTATTTTGAAAAGTACATAATATATAATTATTCCACAATTTTTTATTACCAAGTATTATTGTAATTTCATAAGCATAAGAAATTTGTCATTGTAGAAATTGATGGTCTATGACATGACTTCTACCACAATAAGAAATGTATGATACTAGGCTTACATTCGTAGCGATTTCATTTCCATAACATAGAGAGCTCTTGGGCACAATGCCAATCACGGTCAGTTTGGTCAGTTCATCTACGTGAGCAGAGTTGGCTATTTTTCCATAAGTTGTGTTGGCTCTAGAAAGCAGGATATATCGACGTTCATGTTCGTTGTGGATGGCATCTCCCACAATTCTGGATATACCTCCGTCTAGTCCGTTAGTCAATACCCACATATTGGTTGTGTTAAGAGCCTGAGTTCAATTTAAAAAATTAAAAACTGCATTAAATAATTTCAGAATTCAGCTGGATCATTGCAATCGTCAGATATTGTTTAGAAGTATTTAAGTGTACATTACATCATAAATTGCTGTTGGCTTCTTTTGAGTGAAAAAATTAATGGAAAAAAAAACCCACCCCAACAGTTATACGAAGAATATTTACTTATTGATGGGTGAAAAAAGGTAAAACGGATACAGATAATAATGTCTTATCACATATGTGTATCTACAATTTTTACACAAAGCTTACTTTTATGATAAGACAGTAATGTGGGTTTTTACTGCGTAAACTGTGTTTTTCAATAATTTTACATAAATACCCATTTACAATAAACCTCTTGTGAATTTAGATGTGTGTCAGATAAAACCTTTTTAATGTCATTCTTGAGTCATCAATCAAAAGATTCTGGTAAACAGAAACGTAACTGTGCATAAAGTTTTTAAACTATTGTAGTATAATGCAGCAGTGAGTTAAGTAGAACACTGACGCCAAAATTTTCAAGATAGGTCCCTGAAGCTGTCATTTGTTTAACACTGATGAATAAGCAGAAAACTTACATGTAATTAATCATCTGAGCAACCATATTTAAATTGTTTACAGAGTCATTGAACATTCAACAAAATTTGAATTAAATACTGTTCATGAATTTAAAAAAAAATTATACCAATTCTATTCACAAAATTAATTTGATGCAATCAAATATTTTGTCCTCATGTAAAAGAATTTTTTTTTCTATGCAGTTAACTGATTTCCAATACATCAAGCACTGACTAATTATCAGCCAGTAATTACACATTTTCCCATACATTATCATGATTATATTACACAAGCCTAGGTTTATGGTAAATAAAAAACTCTTTTAGTAAATCAAGATCCTGGCACTGCAATGTCCATGAACTGTTTGTGACTTTGTCATGGTCTTGCATACATCATGAGTTGTTTTTAATAAATCAAAATATTGAGCTTATGCTTCTGTCATTTATGAGCTTGTTGATAAATGTGAAAAAGGGTCTGTAAAAAATATAAATAACTTAGATGATTGATGCAACTGCCCTAGCTGAATGCCACCCCAATGGTCAACTGTTCAAAGCAACTCGGCATTTCACGTTTTTTCCACATACCATGAAAGTGATATTTTACACTGGGAATTAGTACAATGTACATGTTTTTGACATGTGTAGGCGTAAAATATACAGTCTTGAATTTTATAGTAATGCCGACTCCAAAATTTAAACATGTTCGAAGGGGGAATTTGAGCTAACCTTGCAACTGGTGTATTTCCCCAAAGCATAAAAAACCCACTTTTATACATGTACTACTATGGATCAAGTTCTGAATGTAGAAGTGAAAGTAATACCTAAATCAAACATCAATAAAATAGAATTCCTGACTAACACTTACTTCATGCCACAGAAATATAAGATCTAACTTTGCTTGTGATATACCTTGTTAAAAACAAGAGGCCCATGGGCCACAATGCTCACCTGAGTCACTTTGGCCATGTTGTGCTGCATCAGAATTATGTATTCCTATGTAAAAATTTTGATCCTCTTTTTGGCCCCATCCTTATTAAGGGGCCGTGATTTGAACAAAATGAATCTACACTACCAAAGGATGCTTCCACATTAATCTGATTCATCATGGCTTTGCTGTTCTTGAAAAGAGGACCATGATCTGAACAATTTAGAATCTACACTATCTCATGGAGCTTCCACATAAGTTTCAGCTTTTCTGGTCCAGTGGTTCTTGAGAAGATTTTAAAATATTTTCCCTATATATTTCAATGTAAAACTTTGATTCCCTATTAGGTCTTCACCCTACCCCAGGGGCCATGATTTGAATAATTTACAATCTAGACTATCTCAGAAAGCTCCCACATAAGTTTCAGTTTTTCTTGCCCAGTGGTTTTTGAGAAGATTTTTTAATGACCCCACCATATTTTTGCCTTCTCTTGAATATCTCCCCTTGGAAGTGGACTTGGCCCTTCATATTTAAAACTTAGAATCCTTTACCAAGGGATGCTTTGTCCTAACTTTGGTTAAATTTGGCCCAGTGGTTCTTAACAAGAAGTTGAAAATGTGACAAGTTTACAGACAGACAATGGGTGATCGGAAAAGTCACTTGAGCTTTCAGTTTAGGTGAGCTAAAAATACATCATTATTTCTGATATAATTCTAAGAAGAAAGTACCCAAAAAAATCCACCTGAACCAGAATAAATTGCTTTATAAGTGAAAAACATTTTTGGGGGGTTGGGGAAAGGGGTTTGTTTCCACTTAAGTTCTAAATGTCCATATGAGACCAGCCTGGAAGTGTACCACCTGTGCTTATATTGGAACATCTTCCACCTGTGCTAATACTCCTACATACCTGTATCAGACAAGCCTGGAAGTCTTCCACCTGTGTTAATACTCCTATATACCTGTGTCAGACCAGCCTGGAAGTCTTCCACCTGTGTTAATACTCCTACATACCTGTGTCAGACCAGCCTGGAAGTCTTCCACCTGTGCTAATACTCCTACATACCTGTGTCAGACCAGCCTGGAAGTCTTCCACCTGTGCTAGATCCTCCCATGTTTTGAAGTGAGCTATGCTGGAGATGACAGAGAGGATGATGTCTGGGGTGCGCTTCCTCCAAACCTTAGACATGTACTTAGCCATGCTATCCATGGAGGAATCTTCGTTGATTGTGACAAAGTAACTCTGGTGGGACTGAAACAAGGGAGGTAACTCTCCTTCAGATGCTTTTCATTTTGTAATCACCAAGATTATATACATGTACATGCATCCATACTCCTAATATTCTTTAATGTACATTATTTACACTTGCATGGAGATGTGACATTCATGCAAGTTTAAGGTCAATCATATTTAATTTACATAACAATTTAATTATTTATACAAAATCAAAAGACAAATTAGAACAATAATTCAATTTTCTATTAATATATTTATTATAATTTGAAACCCGTAAAGCACACCTTATCACAATTCCCTCCATCAAACTCAAACTTGAGGATCCCTCCTGTAACTCGGCCTGCTATATCATCGAGATCGAGCGTACTGATATAGGAGCTGAGACTGGTCACAGTGCGATACTGAGCCTCATCCATTGTCAGATAATCCATGGCTAGGTCCAGGTTATCCAGTGTGTCTGTCATCCTGTATGAACAATTATAAACCATCAGCGTCTCTAATTCCTTATATACATGCACTATAAATCATTGAACTTATGACAATGCTTTAACTGTAGATCATAATTAGATTTAGTATCAACAAAAATCAATATGACAATATAGGCATATCCTGTTGTCAGACTGCCTGCTTAATTCTGTAATAATTAGTGATCATTGCTGTTACTACAGTGCTGTAATCTCAAATCAAAAAAACACTCTGTCATAGTTTCTGTCCTCTGAAAACTTACCTAAACCTATAAATATACCAAGGAAATCACAGCATAAGAGGAGGTGATTGCAAAGTACCTTAAATAGTCATTACATGGTGCTAAAAATGGTTATATATATACTACAACTAAGCCTCAAGTTTTTCCTAAATTAATTTTGACATGTTTGACAGAATAAAAGTCACTATTATAATATTGTTATGTAAGATAATTAGTTAAACTATACCTGTGAACAACATTTTCTCAATAAATTTCAATGAGAGGACCGTGGGCTACAATGCTTACCTGTGTCACAAAAAAGTGTAACCAGAGACACAAATGACACAACAGCTTTATATACATTAAACATTACATACTTTGTAAAAATACAAAATATAATATTTGTCCTGATATTGAATTTTAAGATGACCATCAATTCTGTACAGAGTTTTATGTTTATCCTGTAGAGTGTAAACATTCAGTTTGTAACACCCCCCCCCCCCCCATTTTTATATAGAGTTCTCAAGGATCGCTGTCAAATCAGGAAAAGACTCCTTAGTGATATGGTATATAATTTTGCACATTTTAATGATATGATGTATGTAAAACAAATATGGTTCAGGTTCGTAAAAAAATTACGTTCTCTAGAAAATTATCCCAAATAAAATGTATGTGTAACATAAGTATGTTGGTAAATTAAAATTTTCTTAGAATATTTATTATTGAAAAGACTAAAAAGTATACATATGTAAATTTTGGTAAGGAGACAGGCACAGCCGTGCGTTTTCTGACTGAATTCTGTAAATGTTGTTTTCCTCATGCTCACTGTTTTGCTACCATATATGGCTAAGGCTTACGAGGTCACCAAATAGCTGCAAATCTTAATTTCTCTTTTTCTTATGAGATATGAGATTTTTAAAGAATCATCCCAACTTTGGCTAAGAATGAAAATACAAACGCCTACATGTTCTTGATTGAAGTTAAAAAAGTATCATTTCCTATATGGGGAAAAGTGCCATGTCTTTTCTAATACTAATGAAATTCCATGACCATATTTTCATTATGTTCCTCAAAGTTTTGGATCGTATTTGTTCGAAAACAAAAATTACATAAACCTACGTATCCATACATTCACCTCTGGCCGATTGAAGTAAGAAAGGAACCTTTCATGAGTAAATTTAAATTCAAGAGCAGTGGATTATTCATGTATTTATTATAGTCTTTTGTCATCAAAAATGGTGTAATTATTTTATTTCATTTCAGTCACATATTTTAAAGTACCCCCCCCCCCCCCCTTTCACTCGACCTTGAAAAGATTGCAATGGTTATCTTACTACACGAACTCACTGTGCTATTTTAATTATAATTACCAAATATTCTTTATTTGTCTTTGAGCAACACCTTTTTTTGTTTTGTTGGCATGGGAATCAACTGACTTTGAAGTTTCAAAGAGATTTTCTTTTTAAATTCATTCTTTGTCAGCGCTCGTAAAATATTACGCTACATATATCACACTTTGAAAAACTGATGTTTCCAGGTAACGATTATTTTTCATGCGTTAATAAAACATGGTAAACAACATATAAATCGTCTTTCCTTGTGAACTAAATTCTAACCCCGTCCTCCCATAAAATTTAAATTACCAGTGAAGTGTACATATTCCACAGGTAAAGGATGTACGAATACTAATGAAATCATTCTTGCTAGATAAATAATAGTGCACGTAAAAAATGAACGTTTAGGGTCATTTGCTTCAAGCTTTTAGCGATTTTTTAATATATTTTTACACTTATGAACAACAATACATGTATTACATGGCCGTATGAACCGAAGGCCCGGGGGGGGGGGGGGGACAATAATTTTGCCGATATATAGATTACTATAGTAAACATAGATACTATATGCTTGTGCCCCCTCAATAAAAACGTCTGATGACCTTTTTTATTTTTTTTTTTTTGCTTGTCAGGAAATTTTTGGTAGTGCCCCCTCAACTGTCAACTGAAAATGTATGGCTGTGCCCCCCCCCCCCACCCCCACCCCAACTGAATTTGCTTCCTACGGGCCTGTATTACATATATTTCTGTCATTCATTTGGCAATCCGATGCATGATCAAACATGTAAGTTGTTACAGCGTAAAAATGTGTGTTAAAACATTTGAATGTGATTAATTTTGAGTGCAATTCAAATTCCTGTCCGATTAATTTGTGAAATAGAAAAACCTGTCAAAAAAATCAAAATGACTCCAAACACTTTTTAATGACAATAACAACATATGGATCTAGCATTCTAAATGTGTGAAAATTGATGAATTCCCCAACTTGTGTTACTGTTCTGGGGCATCTGTCACTCAGGCACACTGTGCTTAAAGCCATTGTTATATTTTATACATGGTTACATGTGTTACAAACATTTCCGTCAGGCAGTGAAGTTTCAGACCCCCCCCCCTTCCGTGCGGGAGTTCAAGGTCACTCTACTGAACCTCCATATTGACATCAGAAATAATATGACGTCCAGTGGAAGAAAAGGGATATGAAGAAGACTTAACATCGTTTCTCAAAGTGACCAGCCAGAAGAATAATTAATAATTTAAAAAAAAAACCAATTTCACAAAACTCAAATTCTAAAATCGTGGAAGAGAGATGTGGAGGATGCGTTTGCCTCTCTCATTTTCGGCTGAAATTAACGTGGGGTGGTTCGACCATACTGCAACAAAAAAGGGGAGTGAGTCACCTCAAGCAAAGGCTGTTCACGTAAAAGGGGAGGGGGGGGGCTTTCCCGTACTATCATAACTGGAGACTTGTAATATGATATCACCGGCCTGATCGCTTTGATCTGACCGATATGTATATTTTCTTTATATACATGTCGGTCAGATCAAAGCGATCTGAAGGCCTGCAGTTGATATCAAGCAGAAATATTAACTGATTAAAAGGCCAGTAAAACACTTGTACGTCGTTTATTGAAAATAATTCATAAATAAAAATATTTAACAAAAGAATTTTTTTAATAATACATAAAAGCATGTAAACTTTAACTTTATGTTTAAGAACAAAAAACTACTATTCCTTAAGCTAAAATTCCGCAATTAAAAGAAAGTGTAACTAACATATGCACTTAAAAAAATGATTATGTGATTTAGATTTTTTTCCCTCCGGGAATAATAAACGAAGACACCAGGGACGATTTATAGGTAGGTTAGAATTAAAGGTTAAAGGCATCTGTAAGAGCGACGACATCGTTATGTCATGTCATTTAAATGAACTAAGACATGACCTTAATTCATTATAGATCCTCTAATAACGTATACTGCATGCATTTCCATAAAACTTGAAATACAACCTACTGATTAAGTTTAATCCGTTAGATATGGATAGTGACTTCCACATACAAATAAGCATTTCAATACATCAAAAGATTCTTAATATAAGAATGTGTATACAGAAGATTTCCTCAGTTATAAATACGTTATTTATATAAACTATCGAGCATTCACATTATAAGTGTTCTACACAAACGTGTGCGTGGCCAAATCATGCATCCTGTTTGTCTCATTCCAAAGGAAAAGACAGGGAAAATTAAGAATGCATTATATATATTTTTATTCTAACTTAAAATACATGTAAATCTTACAATTTACAACAGGTCGATCTACATGTACCTTCGGCACTCGACGCCTCCCCCCGGATTGACAGCGGAAACCCTTGCGAACAAGTACTAGATACAGAATGTACAAAAAAGTGTTATCAGTATTGAATGCAAGTTTGACATGGGTAATTAGTTATCAAATCACTTTTGTTACATAATTTACTTTATTTCTCTTTTTTATTGTTCTTATAAAAAGAATTTACACCTTTTAATCTCCTTGTTTCTTAATTAATTTATTTATTTTACATTTTATAGCTGCTTTGCAACAACAACCCTTCATCTGTTCTGAAAATTTTGGATTTGTCCAAGTTTTGAAACCGCCTTAAATAAACAAAATGACCCCTACTGCACCGCCCCTCTAAGCCCCTTATGTTTCCTTGGCTGCAAGTTTTTCAGAAAAAAGGATGTACATGTATCTGTTATGTCTACCGATATTATAGTATACATTTACACACTCACAAAACTAAAACTGAAAAAATATTAATCCCACTATACGGAGCTGTTCATTAATCTATGCTGTCTTATCGTACAATGAATACCTTCTCCACGTGAAATTGACCGCTGTTTTAAAATTCTTTACAAGTACAACAGAAGAGCAAACAAAAAAATTGACCGGTAAATGTTTGATAACAATGAAATATACATGTATTTAGTTCCACTAAATTGACACCTATAAGGAAGACAAATTTAAACACACTCACGGAAATTTATCCTTGCTAAAAATTCTTTTCTCATCAGCTGAAATAACATTGCATACAAATCAATACCTCTGTCAACCTGCTTATCCCGATCAAAACTGGCGACATATGCTGCTCTTAAAAGTGGTCAAGGTTTACATTTATAAATATACCTCGATTATCCTGCCTTCCTTTGATCTTTCCAGGTCTGTGGTCAATTCTTGTCAGCTTTGTCTCTATAATACACATAAATATACATGTTTTACTGCTGTTATAAATTAATCCCAATAAAATCGATCGCCACACACATGCAAATAACAGAACGCCTTGACCGCTGTAATGCCCTCTTAGCATGAAAGGAAGAAATTTAAATGTTGACCAATGACCACTATTTAGTGCATGCGCCTTGGCATTGTAGATAAGTGCCCCCGTATCTCTCTCTCTCTCTCTCTCACCCCTCTCTTCTTATTTTCTTCAGATACGTACCGGTACTATACATATAAAAAAGAGAAAATACAATGCCCAAGGTCTTTCTAATGCAATATGTTACATTTACTTGCATAAAGTCATAGATGTGTGCCGCACACATCCTGTACCTAACACTCAATGCACTACGATCAGCTGTTTTCGAGCATGTGTAATCCATTAAAACAGAAACAAACAAAAAAATCTTACCATACTGCTAGGTCGCTTCCTCTTTCCACGCATCAGGGTGGCACGAGTTCTTTTTTATACCTACACGTAATACATTATCGGCATACAAAAAAAAGTGAAATATAAACTCTTTAACCACGGATCAGTAGGATTTAGGCAAACACTTCAGCACTATTCAAGGCCACAGGCTGACTAGAAGGCCACCATCTGCACTATCGGGGGGTCACAAGCAGGTCATTGTGTAACAGGGATCCGATATTTTTTTCCTCCTGGTTGTGTAAGGCGGATCTTATTGGGCGCTCTGTACTCAACACACACACCTCCCTATCTCTCTCTCTCTCTAACAATCTCTCTTTCCCTCTTAGAGTCAAACTTCTTTCTTTAATTCATTATAGATGTTGAGTAATACAGAAACCGGTATTTAATTTTTTTTTCAAGAGCCTTAAATCATTACTCTCTTTCTCTCTCTCTCTTTTCTGCCTCCTAACAGAAAGCAGCAATGATATATAACTGTGTTGATGCGTTTTCGTTGTGTATTTCAACACACCATAAAATTTGAAGAATCGCTTGTTTTCTTAAATATGCTGTCTATCCCTTGATAATTATTTTTTTCTAGTAAAATTTCCTTTTTCTCATCTCAAAGGACCGAGTTCGACGTTCTCGCTTATCATGTCCATCAGTGATTATTAATTCTGTTTTTACTTAATTTAGCAATTTACTCGGAAAAACCAAAATACATTAACGGACAAGTGTAAACTAAAAGAGAGAGCTGGCGAGTAAAAGTCAAGGAGAAAGGGGGGGGGGGCTTTGTGGGCCATTCTAATTTTCAATTGCGCACTTTTCCGTATTTATTTTATAAGAAACATTATACAAAATTGAACGATGGTTAAAAAAAAAAGAAATTTAAAAAAGTCGTGGTAAATAAAATGACTACACATCGAAAGATTATATTTCGTTAATTCCTTTATCATTTAAATTTCGTTTGGGGGCAAAAAATCTGCACCTTTAAACCGGTTAGTGTGACCTTTATGCATCACGTAGAAGGGCAAACGTTTAAACTATTTTATTTTTGCAATAATGTGTTTCGTTTTAAGATACAGATTATTACGGAAGCCGGTATGTGCCAGGTAGAAAAATATTTTATCTGGCGGCCGCCAGAAAATTATTTGGCGGCCGCCAGATAAGTTTCTGGCGGCCGCCAGTTATTTATGTGGCGGCCGCTAGAAAGTTATCTGGCGGCCGCCAGATAAAATATTTTTTCTACCTGGCACCAACCGGCTTCCGTAGATTATGTATAATGCATCGGGATTATTTAAAGGAAGAAGAGCACAAAAAACAATGTGCATAACCGAGCGGTCGGCGTAGTTCCAAACCAACGACATGGACAGTCATATGGAACAAATTAGACATCCTGTCCAAGATCAACACTAGAACCGCTTGACATCAAGTAAACAGGGGTTGTGTACATCTCTTGTTAACCATATGTACAATGCTTGCACTTGCTGCAGTAGCAAAAATAGTATTTCCGTGCCATTTTGGAAATGTACGTGTACAAAAAATGTTTGAAAAAAATAAAGAAATAATTTTTTATCGATTTAACAATTTATATAGCAGAGGTATATAAAATGGGTGGGTAAGGGACTGCAACTCCCTTTTTATGAAAAATAAAATAAATTTAAAAAAGACAGATTCTCAGAAATAGCCAATATTTGTATTCCCGACTCGATTGACATTTGCTAATTGACCCCGTCCGGCCTTCCCGTTTTTTCGTTTGTTTGTTTTTTTTTTCGGAGGGTCAAAGGTTTTTCAATTTATATATCATCTATTATATGTTAATTTTGAAAAACCGGGTGAAAGTACAAGATTTATAAAACACATGGCACTAAATTTACCAGAGAAGGGTGTGTCACTATATATACATAATATAGTACTATGGATTGGTCACTTGTACATCAAATGAACGAATGCGTGTCAGGCCTCCCACTCTTTCTGTGTGTAGTATTTAGATACTGCCCCCCCCCTTTTTGTTTCCGTAAGGTCAAGCACTGGCAAATTCCAGGATTTAAAAAATGTACTAAAAAGTAACTAAAAGCCCCCCCCCCCCCTCTTTTCATGAAATAGGATTTTCGAGTTTGGACAGTTTAGTTTTTTGGGGGGGAGGGAGGTTGCCCCCCTTTAAAACCGTTGCTACGGGCATTGATGTGAAGATATTGTTAACACATACATGTACTGTACACAGGCACTTTCGACAGAACCCCCCCCCCCCGATATTCAACCCCGGGGCTTGTTGGACATTTTTTTTTTTTTTTTTTTTTTTTTTTTTTTTTTTTTACAAATTATATTTATTGCACTTATTCATCATGTGTACTATATGAAAAAATCGTGAAAACCCCAAAATAATCGTTCCAAACAAAAAATACCCCACTATTTATTATAAGAGAGATCATTTTCGTTTTTTTATCCCGTACCCTATGCTCTAACCCTAACCCCCACAAACCCTAACCCCCTCTCTCTTATAATGTATAGTGGGGTATGATTATTTTGGGGTTTTCACAATTTTTTCCTATAGTACACATGATGAATAAATGCAATAAATATAATTTGTGAAAAAAAAAATGTCCAAAAAGCCCCGGGGTTGGATATTCGGGGGGAGGGGGGGTCCTATCCACAAGTACCTGTGGTACTATATTATGAAGTTCATGTAGGTAAGTGATTGAATCATAAGTAAAACATCTCAATCATAAATAACTACAAACTTAGCAATAACATGTTACACCGACCTGACTTTCAATTACCCTGAAACAACCCAAACGGTATACGTACTATATTGGCGAATCTAAAGCAGAGTAAGAACTACTTCAATATTGCCAAAAATCAAACTTTATCTTGAGAAATTTACCCATTTGTTTCCATGACAATGACAGCCATCTTGGAAAAACCGTGACAAAGTTTGTCCAATACCTCTTTTTGCAGGAATTATAGTTTGACTAAAATGATGTAAGGATTAATCTTTAATTAAAAAAATGTTTACATTTCATCTGTTTCCATGGACATGCAGTTGCCATTTTGAAATTTTAAATCTTGAATGCAAAATTAGATTTTGAAAATATTATTTCTGTGAAGTTTCATTAAGATTGACCAAGTTTCTGCAAACAGAATTATAGGTGGAGTGATAACAATGCATGATATTTTGTCCCGACTTCAGGTGACATAATGATAACAAATTCCCCACATTCCAACAACATGATCTGAGAGAGCCAATGGACTTAAATGAAGATTAAGATTGAAATTCAGTCACAATACTAAGAGAGAAACAGGTTATCAATGAAATGGATAATGGATCATAAGAATATAAGGGCTCTGCTAACCTTTATTTGCTCACTTCATATGTCCATTCATGCAAGTTTGGTCTTGATAGGGCTTATAGTTACTTGCTCCTATCACCAATGCTGGGGATATAGCATAATCTCAGCTCTACTTCCTTGAGGTGAGCTAAAAACTGATAAATAAAGTAATGTATCATAGTGAGTCTACTCATGTAGTTTTATTGAAATCTGACCAAAACTTAGGAGGAGTAGTGTTTTGAAAGAATTTCAGATATTTCTTCATTCCTAGAAACCATGGCAATGCCATTTGCCAAAATTTAACAGTGATACATACAATTATGCATCCTGGTATAGTCTACTTGTTTTGTAAGCTTTATTGAAATCTGACCAAAACTGTAGTCAGACATTTTGAAAGAATTTCCCAGGAATTTCTATTTCAAGTAACCATGGCAACAAAATTTGTTGAAATAAAAACTGAAACAAAGAGTTATGTACCTTGGTGTGTCTACTTGTCCAGGAAGTTATACTCAAATCAGAAAAAAAAAATTATAGCATTGTTTTGAAAGAATTTCACAGAAATTTTATATATAGTATTGGTAATCATGGCAACACCGTTTGCTGAAAATCAAACACTGATAAAAAGTTATCTACTTTGGTGCAGTGTACTTACTGAAATTAAACTAGAACTGTAGGCCGGAGAACAGATGGATAGAGGAATTAATGGAGACCTACCTTTAATATCTATCTGATTGGCTTTTGTGGTCTTTGACCAGTAGAGCTAAAAACAAAGTATGGTAAATCAATGATATAACACCAAAGCCCCTTTGGGATTTGAGTAATATTGATGCATTCATTAGAGACTGATACTTGATCCAAATAATTCACAGTGTAGCACCATGTGTAGAAAGTCACACTTCAGGTTATAGATAATAAATAGTATGCTGATTACTTGGTAAACTTCCATATGGAATGCAATGAACATGATGAAAGTGGAAAAATCTATAGAATCCTAAGAAACTTTAACTATGTTTGGTAAATTTTAATAAGTATTAAAGTTTAATAAACACAAAAGGGTTTCTAAAAAAAAAGAAAAAAAAGGCCTTAGACCTGACTAACATACAACATTGTAAAGGATCCATAGATGTATAAAATTAAACAGATAGATCAAGCTATAGCAAATAAGGAAGAGAAATAGATCATGATCAGTGATGAACAAAATAGTAAGTCTAGTACTCAATAAATCTAACAGTAGATCTATTTTCTTGCCTGCACTTGCCCCCATTTGTCTCCATCACCATTCGACTAAACAAGACAATACTGCTTGAGCACTTTTAGAAAACCAATCTTTTTTCCTCTCATATTGCCTCTCTTGTCCTTTGAAGAACATTGAATGTACAAAGATAAGGTATTTTTGTCTCTTTGTTTATCTACAATTTATTTACAACTCCAACTGACCATTAAAAAAACTATAAAAATACTTTTTGTATTTATATATATATATATTAGGGATGTCAACGAGTACCCGGTTAACCGGGTACTCGATCGAACGTCCGAGTATCGAATACTAAAATCGCTACTCGGTTACTCGGATGTATATTTTTTTTTCATATTTCAAAGAACAAAGTATATATTTTTTTATCAAAAACTTATCAAAAAATGCAACTTCAAAATGATTTGTCCTTGTTTACCTTGTAATTAGCGTCACCCACACCTGTCAATACCCGTTGTTGTCTGTGGCTGTGGACTTGTTTATACAGTAATTACCGTGACCAATCTCCTACACAGCTTTTATCACCTTTGTGATCCGTTAGTTTTTTGCATAGCTTTAATGATTAGTATTTAATGAATATCGTTTAATTAGGGTTTTATTATCCTAAAATAATAAAGTTTTCATACGGTAGCGAATTCGGACGTACAAAGAGATACCGCTAACACTTCAAAAGTGAAAAAAAAAACATTAGGAAAGAAGTAAAGATTTAAAAAATGTTTAAATTAGCTGTGCAAAGTTAACATAGCGTATATGGGGAAAACAACCAACATACACGTATTAATTAAATAATATCTAGCGATCTCGAAAATATCCCTTTCTTTAAAAACAATATCTTGCGCTTGTCTTATCATTGCAAAGCTACGTTACAGATTGTTTTCCTCTTGTGTTGATCAAATCGTCTTCCTAAACAAGAACTATAAACCATTTCTAATTAATGATGCATTAATTGTTGTCTTTTGTGTTTATTTGAGAAATAAATTTAGTGCAAAAAATCATTTTCGTTTTGCTCGATGTTTGTGTACAAACATAAAAAACGTTAAAAATTCAACGTTGGGGTTAAACAGGGCTTAACTGGTCTCAATAAAATTAACACATTTGTATTTTACAATTTTACCGAGTACCCGGGTACTTGATCGGAAAATCGTCCGAGTAACCGATTATCAAATATTGACCGATTTGACATCCCTAATATATATATATATATATATATATATATATATAATAAAAATTCTTGTTTAATAGGTTATAGTTTTCAATTTACATATTTTCCCTCTGAGTTAGTCCCCTTTGCCACAATCTGGAGATCAACCTAGTGAATCTCCTAGTTTGATCAACCAAATTTCAATGTGTATATAATAGGAATATATGGGAAAAATCTTTACAATATGAAAATTGGGAATCTATGGTGGCTTGAATAAATGTATACTGTAAACTTTTTTTTTCCCACAGGTTATGTTTTCAATGCACTTCAAATACACTGTGACAAATTTCCAGGGAAAATAAGTGACCAGTGCATAGCATATATTAATACTCCACGGAAAAAAAGTACATCTGAAGTATTCTTCAGAAAAACAATGTTTTCTACACCTCAATGTGCAGTATGACAAGTTTAAATTGGTTAAATTATATATTAATCTGAGCATGTTGACCTTCAATATATGCTGGTCAATGGGAAGTAACTCTTGCTAAAACCATGTCTATCAAAAACTTTCTGATGAAGGAATTCATCAAAAATTATAAATTCATTCTAATCAAAAACTATCTATACATAATGTGAACAAATGATTCCCTGTATTGAAAATACCTTTCAAACAAGAGGCCTATGGGACACATCTCTCACCTGAGACTCCTTCAGTCCTTGTCCTTGCTGTTATACATCTGATTTATTCAAAAGAAATATCTCTGTCCCATCCTAGCCTAAATGGGTCAACACATAATCAAACTCGAATCCACACAACATGCCAGGGGTGCTTCTATATTAATATGAAGAACATGTTCTGGTCAATAAAAGATTTTAAGGATTTTTTTTTCCCTGTATACATGCATTACTGGTAAATGATACAGACTCTGTAAGCAAACCTTGCCATCAATCTTGATTGTTTACATTTGTTGAAATCTTAGACCAATGCAGTGAATGAAGAAAGATAAAATAAACATAACCAGTTGTATGAATTTGTTTTTCCCACCTATTTTTGATGTGATACAAGAAAAAAATTATACATTCACCTGAAACTGTTGGATGCAGATGAAATAACTTTCATAAGCAATAGTATCAAAATAGAAGTTCATGATTACCGGTAACTTGGTCTAATGTAGAAACAAAATGCCAAAGGGTCTTAACGGTCACCTGAGTATAATACAGAGGGCATCCCCCCCTCCCCCCCCCCCCCCCCCAAGAAAGACCAGAACCCTGACCCTTGAAGTTTTAAAAATTAATGCATTTTCACTTTCACTCAGAGAATTTAATGCAAATTAATTTAATTTGAATCCATGTGAACGCTAAGCGAAACTATTTTGAATTAAATTCAGACATGTGCCACATGTCGGTGAACAGATGTAGGTACTTATGCTATTTTTTGAGTGAAAAATGTGTAAGATACTACAATATTATATCAAATAGATCTGCTCTGCATAAGGTGATTTGAAAATGACATTATAATAGCCTTACTGTAGAAATAAAATTTGAATGCACATTAGTTGACTTTGTATTAACTGTCATTTGAACACAATTCAATTCACATTAGTTTAATTGGCACTATTTTACTTAGCAATAATTTACTTTAAATAGTAGAATATTTAACGTGCATTCGTGTGAACAGGGCATTAGTTTCTTTGCTTTATAACCAGAAGCAGAAAAGAATATTTTCAAAGAAATTAAGCTTTTACACTATATAATCAATAGAGCTCCATCCTTTCACCAGAACCTCCAATCCTGGGGCCATGAATTTCACAATTTTGGAAAAGGCATCCTTGCTTATCATAACTATGCAGTATCCTTAATTTTAGACCCACCATAAGCCCAGGGGCTATGATTTGAACAAACATAAATCTGCATATCTGATGATGCTTGTGAAATATTTAGGCTGTGGATATCAGCCTGGGTAGCTCAGTTGGTAAAGCACCTGACCAGTGATGCAAGGGTCCTGAGTTTAATACCTGGTCCAGCCATACATTTCCTTATTTCCCATTACATAATTTGGTTCTGTTGACCACCCCTGGACTTGCAGATGAAAGTCCTGCCAGAGGCAATAAGAACTTGTGTTGTGTCTTTGAGGGCAAACACAATTTAGGGAGGGGGAATGTAATGGTTTGGGTCATGGATATCAGCCTGGATAGCTCATTTGGTAGAGCACCTGAAAAGTGGGTTCGATTCACTGTCCAGCCATGCATTTTCTTTTTTCTTGTTACATAACATTTGGTTAATTGTGTGAGGGTGACAATTTAAGGAGGGAGGAGTGTAATTGTAAGGACTGTGGATTTTGGCCTGGGTAGCTTAGTTGGTAGAGCACCTGACTAGTGATGCAGGGTTCTCAAGTTTGATTCCCAGTCCAGTCATGCATTTTCTTCTTAATCCTGTTACATAATTTGAATGCCATTGACCACCCCTGGACTTGCAGGTGAAAGTCCTGCCCTGGGTAATAAGAACTTGGGTTGTGTTTTTGAGGGCAATGACAATTTATTATAGAACATTTTTAGTGCTCTTAGACATTTTTAGTTCTCATTTGTTAAACTTCATGGATTACTGAAATATCTATTGTACTTTACAACTGTTAACCTGAGACCATGAGTCTTATGTTTCACAGATGCCAAACTTAGTGTTTTCAAAAGCAGAGTGAAAACAGCTTAAAGATAGCTTTCTTTTGGTGGACTGAATGTCTGTAAGTGGTGCATGAATTTAAAGCTACCCTGATGACTATATTCAGAGTTTGATGTATTTAGACTCATTATTCTTAACTGTTTAACAAGTTGGCAACATTCATGGGAAGTATAAAGGATGATAAACATTCTCTTTTTGAAGTAAGAAACTGGAGATACTTTCAGTAGATTTATATTTCTAATTTCTCAAAACTCAGATATCCATAAACAGAGTCTTGTAATAAAAATAAGGGTTATCAATTACAGAATAAATAGTTTTATTTATTTAAAGTTCAATATATATATATATATATATATATATATATATATATATATATATATATATATATATATATATATATATATATATATATAAAAATCCCTGTTCCTCTCAAAAAACTTCAAAATTCATCATATATACACTATCTTTTCTTAAATTCCAGACCTTCGTTGATATTTAATGTACTTGTATAATAACCATGTACCAGTAGTTCCATTAACAATCAAAGTTGTACACTGTATTAGACTTTTTTTACTTTTTCATATTTTCCCTATTCATTTACTTTGCAAACCTTTGAATTCCTCTTGTTTGCTCAATCCTGCCCCTGGGGCCACCATTTAAAGAAACCTGCAGCTGAACCTTCACTAAATGAAGGTGCTTGTATATCTATTTTGTAGCCTTGTAGTCCTTGACAAGATGATTTTGATATTTTTTTTTCTTTTATGTAACACTTTAAAAACCTGTAATTGTGGTCTCATCTCTGCCCTTAGGCAAAAATGACCAAATGTGAATCTACATTCCATGTACATTGTTTAATGAACTAAAAATCTTTATACTGAATGTGAGCTATAGGAAATTAAAAGAGGTATAAAGCACTTGCAAAATATTTATTATAAATTGTATACAAATACATTACAATAACAATGTACATGTAATATGATAACTTTTTACAAAAAATACTCAACTTTGGTCCTTTCAAAATGGAGTGTTAATTGAATCAGAATTGTTTGTTAAACTCTTCTACTAAATAAGAAAATTTCAGCTTTCTTTTTTGTTATGTGTAGCACTTGAAAAACTAAAGCTACCAGCGCTATGTTATTCTATTGTCACTTTTTCATCACAGAAGCAAGAATGTATGATATTTACTGGCGATTATATTGTGTAGCTATAAACTAGGTGTATTACTTTGTTCTTCAACCATTCATGACCATTTTGATGAACTCTACAAATAAAATTATTTAAAAAAAATATACAGTAAACTGCTAAGTAAATATGAGTGAATTTAGTTAAGAATTGTACAACTTGTTTACTCAACAGAATTAAGAAGGAAGCAGAACATGTTCAGGAAACAATATTTGCTCTAGTTAACATAGTACATGTATCGGTAAATTTTCTACAAAACAAATTTTGAACACCTATTATCCATAGATAATATGAATAAATTTTTGTATTATTTAGTTTATTGATTGAAAAAACATTGTTGGAAAGGAAATGGTCAGTTACTTTTAAATGCTTTGGTATGTTTACTAAAATGTAACTGTGCATGGTCTTAAATCAGTGACCCCTTTGTCTACGTTGAATGATGTACTTAATGTGGCAAAATTGCTAAAAAAAAAATTTTTCCATAGAACTATTCCAAGGTTAATCTAGGGTGAACAGGAAGACAAAGTAGTCTCCCAGTTTGCATTACAGGCAGGTGTAAAATAAGCTCATTTATTGACCTTTAATGTCTTTATTCTGTTAAACTCATTACTTGATGTTTATCAATCTGAGTTCCCTCTGCCTGATAAACATCAAATGGATAATATTGATCAAATCAGTCATACCTTCATAATTGACGTTTCCCTGAGCATCCTCCATGCCTTGAAATAATTGATCTACATCTTCATCTGATAGTTTGTCTCCTAAAAATATTAACGAACATATACAATTTTTACATGAAGCAGCTAGACCAAAATCCTGCATAAAAGCATAAGGCTTTATAAAACACTGAAAACTCAGATTCCAGACATGTCCTGATGATATGTAAAAGGAGTAACTTACCAAGAGATGTTAGGATATGTCGCAGTTCTGCTGATGAAATGAAGCCATTCTGATCTTTGTCAAACATTTTAAGACCTTCTACAAAGTCATCAAATGTGGCGTGATCTCTGTTTTTACTGATGGTTTGTAATATTGGTATGAAGACTTCAAACGAGATTCTCGCATCTATGACAAGTAAATGACAAGTCATGTAAATCTATGTTCACTGAAAATAGTTTTACTGCTGTGGACACAGTCATGTATATTTATTACCCTAGCAAATTTGTCTACTAATTTCATAATCAATACTTTACTGAAAATATTTAAAAAGTTCAAAATTCCTGAAGCTTGATGTCAAATATTGTATTCTAGATTCAGAGTCAGAAATTAGAAATGCCAGAAATTAGAGAGACCTGCCTATTTATTGTTCTGATCAAAAATGAGCAGATGTAAAGTTATTAATTAATTCTGGAATTCGGCAGCTTTTTTTTAAAAATATACTTTTGACATTTTGTGTTCTTTTGTACACAGTCTTCAGGATACAATTTTTGCTCAATAAAGATTCAAATTCTGTTTTAAAACCACCTTAAAAGTACTGAACTCTGCATGTTTCCTGTGTGAAAAAATGGTGTGAGGACAATATAACCTTTTATATTCATGAATTTAAAGAGTTTTTCTGCAGATTTATCACTTCCTCATTGCTATATTTAAAGTCCCAAAAAAGGTGTTTTTAGCTAAATTTATGCTTAAATTACTGTATGCCTCTAGTACAAATCACACAATGATTTTAAAGAGGTTATATACATGTATCGGGTAGTTCCACTTCTGTGTGAGCCAATTTACTGAGAAGTGTACCCTTACAATTATGAATCAAGTAATGTATACATGTATATGCATCTACTGTTAAAAAGTGAACACTTAATAAGCTTTCATTTTCATTTGATATTTTGTAGAATACATGAAAATGAATTATTGTAAATGTTAGAATTTTCACAGCCTACGTGTAAATGAATGTTGGGCACTTGATGTAGAAGTTCATTGCTGATTCTAGGGATAAAGACTGACAGCATACTATGTCTGTTTCTAGAGTACATATTATTTTTTTTTTCTAGAACTGCAAAATATCTATGAACATAATGAATTCCTTCTATAATGAACAAAATTGTCCATCTCTAGTACTTTGTTTTAAGTGTGTTTTACTGTACATAGTGTACTTATCAAGCATAAACAGAATATTACTAACATCTTTTTTTAGTTTTCTTGAGTATGTATATGGATAGAGTTTACTTGAAAAAAAATTGTCAGGAAAATGTTGATTTTTATTTGATTAACCAGTTAATCTGTCGGAGTTTTGTTTGTTTGTTTTGTTGTTTAACATCCCTCTTGAGAATTTTTCACTCATATGGACACGCCACCACTTGCCGGTGGAGAGCTACAAATTTTGACCTATACTCGGCACTTAGGGCCATTGAGCAGTGAGGGATCTTTTTCGTGCCAGCACCTACTGCGACACAGGACCTCAGTTTATCCAGTCTCATCCGAAGGATAGGTCTCCACCTCCCACAGTGGGATTCGAACCCGCGACTTAAGGATCAACTCCTTACGCCGGGACTCTAGCAGATGGTCTTACCACTGCACCATGCAGGGGATTAATCTGTCGGAGTGATTAACTGATAAACATTTCTGTATTCGATTGTAATCCCAACTGATAATATTTATTATATAACTAATACATGTAATTTATGATTTGAAAGACTTAATAAATAATCAATACATTAATCACATGACTTTACATTGGCTTAAAGGAGACAAACCAACAAGCCCTAGATCCATGAATCAGTTTTAGAATTAAGTCAGAAAGTTATTAGTTATTACATAAATAGTGCATGTTTTGGAGAGTAACGGTTGAAATTGACACCCAAAGAGAAAATGCTGTCAACCAATGCATCAGCATATCTAACTACAAAATATTATTGAATTTTCTATTTATTACATTTTCTTTCATTTTCCCTTTGCCTCTGTCTTTTTGTAACACAGTGTCATAGGCTGCGACATCATAGTTGAGTGTTTGAGATATAGCTCAGCAAACATTGTAAACATTAGATTTCAACAACATATTTGGAGAAACTTGGGCAGTTTTACAGTCTCTGTCAGAAAGGTTTATTTACTCTGTCTTATACCAGGCCAGAAAATACTTTTTACAACATTCTTCATGAAGGGAAAGAAAATCAAGTGTTTTGCATCACTTCTGATATTCTGTCACACCGCGACTGAATATTACTTTGATATTCTTTCACACTCTGGCAGAATATCACTTTCAATTCAATAAATAAATTACTTTATTTCACTGAGGAAAATATAATAAAATAGTTTTCTGAGAGGTGTTAATTTCAACTATTACCCTCAAAACATGCAATATTTTTATATTATACTAAATATTTGATTGATAAAAAAAGTTGGAAATTGTTGTTTTGAATCAGATCTCATTTTGAAAAGCATTTAATTAAACACTCCACATATGTTTTTCTCTAGAAGAAAGCTTTGTAAATGATTCACCAATCTCTCCAGTGTTTGTTTGGTACTCAGAAAGTCCTTATCCTTCAATAATTTTGTTCCCAAAATCTTTTCTTCTGTTTGTTGTTTTTGCAATCAATCTTACTCAGACCAACTATTATTAACATTGTGTTCATTCAGCTCCTTTCAAAATTGACTTGTTGAGAATTCTACGTAAAACTGCATGTGTATAAATTACATGCATGTGACATTATCATTATGTTACCTGTTGCCAAATCATTTTATTATACTTTCATGTTAAATACTAAAATCTGATTGGTTTAGATGCATTTAACAATCCGTAATAGAAGCGGTGAGTTTGAAAGCTTTCTAAGCCTGAACTTAACGACGATCTCCGCATTTTTTTTATGACATCCGAAATCAATAAGACATTCAGTATAATAAAATAAATAGTGCACGTTTTTGAGGGTAACAGTTGAAATTGACACCCCTCGGAAAAACCATTGTCAACCTCCGCTGACGCCTCGGTTGACAATGGTTTTCCGAGGGGTGTCAATTTCAACTGTTATCCTCAAAAACGTGCACTGTTTATATAATGTTACCTGTTGCCAGATGTGTTGTTGTTCATGCTGAGAGTAACATATATTGTTTCCCTTTCATGTTTGTTGCTTTTTTTCCTCAAGTAAATATTCATCTTATGAATAACTGAGATTTTTATACTTATATGACTGCTTTATGATCCTGGGCCAAATTATATTACACATACCCCCAATAAGCACTCAGAATGTATCAGACTGAGAAAATCTTAAAATGGAAGAATTGATTTGACATGCCTTTAAGTACATGTTAACTAAAACACATCCTAAAGGGCTGGGTTTAAATTGAAAGAAATCATATACATTTAAAGATTTTTACCTCACTGTTACTCATAACATTTCTTCTATCCTGTAATCTTATGAAAAGATTATTTCTTTTCAGAAATGACTGGGAGGGGTCATTATCAGGACTGGACAAAAAACATGTTATTATTATTACTAATAATTTACCTGGGTTGTTTGCATAGCCACATTTCTTCACTTCAATCTCTGTTGGATTTTGGCCCAAGGCCCGTAGAACATCACCTAACTGAGCAGCAGCAATCTTTCCATCCCCACGTTGGTCAAATAAGTTAAAGGTTTCCTGAACTTCTGCAAATTTAATTGTAATCACATATATGAATTTTTTTTTTTTTTTTTCACTACACTCTAGTGTACAAACACAACCACATACACATACATGTACTACAGGCACATGATTAACAATGCAAAATTCCCTTTACATCTTGTTGTGACAATAATACAGTGATAATACTTTCATTACTATAAGCACCTCTGTAAGATTTTATTTAGAAGCTATAGAATATGTTTATTCACCAATCAAAGGCCCTCAAGGGGTATGTTCAATTAAAGACATTACAATATATAACAATGATAATGGTAATATACATACAAAGTGAACCAAATAACGACTACGTCATAACCAAATTTCCTGGAGGAAGGCAAATCAACCCCAACAAAATAAAACAAACAATTTAACTCTAAATTTTCCAGTCCACAGGGCAATACAGGGGTGTGCAATTACCATCGCCCGACGCCCGGGGCTACCAATTTTAGAGGTCGGGCTATCATAAAGCTATACTGTGTTAGCCCGTCGGGCTAGTAATTCTAAAATGAAAGTATACATATATTTACGTCGACTGAATTGATGTATGAATTAACTTTGTTGTAAAACCATAATAACCTATATGTATTGTGTGTTGCTATCGCCAGACATTTCAGTGACAATTATAGTCGATAAATATAGGGAGAAGTACCTGACAATAACAACGCGCAAACCATTATTTGTTTTATTTATTTCAAATTAGATGTTTTTCTTTTTTTTACCTTTTTGTTATACTTATACATGTATTGTTTTCGGTAGTTAATGGGCTAGTGACTGGCAACCTCGGGCTAGTAACTTTGTTACTGCCAATAGCCCGACGGGCTAGTAACTAATTTTTGTAATTGCACACCCCTGCAATAACACTTCACTGTGTGACCTTAATCATGCAACCAGCAGCTGACCAGTCCTTACTTCGATCTACACAAATTTACTCTACAGTTTCACAGCGTTCAACGTTAGGCATCCCAACTTTGACCTAAACATCGCCATTACGATTATCAACGGCGTATATTTCATATTTTATATTTATATATTTGAATATATGGTTAAAAGTTTGCTACAGTAACTTGTCTTGCAAGTTTACATTCCTTGAATAACTCCACTTCCGGGAATATATTTTCTTTACGAAGTAAAACTTTACCTGCAAGCTGATCCTCTGATAACTGCGACTGAAAAACAAATTAATGGAATTAATACACAAAAATCATTCACTTTTCATTCAAATAACACATATTTTACATTAATCTTGCAAACCTTACCATCTTTCAACCTGCTGAAAAATTCTATACGAAAGGAGTGAGCTTCCGGTTTGACTCACGAAAAAAATGTAAGCGATAAACATACGAAACCCCCCTCCTGTGCCCCCAAGGTCTCGCTTTGCTGTGAAAGTTTTCCCATCACACAGAAATAGCATGATTCACAATTCATTAATATCCCAATAAATTAATATCTTTCATATATTTTTTTAAAGTACCATAAAAAGATGATTTGTCTGCTGTGTTTACTTTTTACCATATTTGGTAAATTTCTGGACTTGGTAATGGCGCCAATATTTGAATTTTTAAATATACAATCGATGGTAATTTTCTAGACTTAGTTAAATGGCGCCAATAGAGCCCAATATCCAAACTTACACATTTTGATTACGGAAGATGATCTCAACAGTCCCCATCCCTTTATATACATGTATAAGATATATATATATAAGAAGGTCTCAACCCTAATACGGCAACTGGCCCAGATGAGATCTCCACTAGATTTTTGAAAGAGATGGCTCATCCAGTTACACCAGCACTCACCAAGATTTTCCAGGCATCCATTGACCAAGGTCAAACACCAGAGGACTGGAAAACAGCAAATGTCTCGCCAATATTCAAGAAGGGTGACAAGAGCAAGCCTGTGAACTACCGTTCAGTGTCCCTGACCTCTGTGTGTTGTAAGGTAATAGAGCACATCATCCACAGCCACCTGATGAATTTCTTTGAGCGTCACAATATCCTAACCGACTACCAACATGGGTTCAGGAGGAAGCGATCCTGTGAGTTCCAACTAATAACAACAATCCAGGACCTCGCCATGAGTATTGAAAACAACACCCAGGTTGACGCAGTGCTGTTGGACTTTTCCAAAGCATTTGACAAGGTCCCACATGAGAGGCTGCTCGCCAAACTAGACCACTATGGCGTACGAGGCAGTCTACTAAATTGGATTAGAAGTTTCTTGTCTGGCCGAACTCGGAGAGTACTGGTCGAGGGACATTTCTCACCAACCACACCTGTTACATCAGGAGTGCCCCAAGGAACGGTCCTCGGCCCACTGCTTTTCTTAGCATATATCAATGATTTACCCTCCAGAGTGAGATCAAAGGCCAGGCTATTTGCAGACGACTGCCTTCTATACAGGGTCATCAATACAGAGGCCGATGCCAGACAACTCCAAATGGACCTTGACAACCTCCAAAAATGGGAATCTGACTGGCTTATGCATTTCAACCCAGACAAGTGTGAGGTTATCCGTATCACCACCAAACAGAAGCAACGCACTACCGCACACGTTTTTTTAAAACATAGTGAGATAATGCCGCAGTAGCGGCCCTTCACTTCAAAGGAAGAAGAAGAAGAAGATATAAGTCAATGAATCCAAAGCATGCATTGAACTCATACGAAAGCCTAATAGGATCAAACTACGGTAAAAAAAAAATTAAAAAGGCGTTTTAACGCCTTTTCAAAAGGCGTTATAACGCGAAAAAAGGCGTAATAACGCCTTTTGAAAAGGCATTATAACGCAGAAAAAGGCGTAATAACGCAAATAAAGGCGTAATAATGCCTTTCCAAAAGGCGTTATAACGCGAAAAAAGGCGTTATTACGCCTTTCCAAAAGGCGTTATTACGCCTTTCTAAAAGGCGTTATAACGCCTTTTTAAAAGGCGTTATTACGCCTTTCCAAAAAGCGTTATTACGCCTTTCTAAAAGGCGTTATTACGCCTTTCCAAAAGGCGTTATTACGCCTTTCCAAAAGGCGTTATCACGCCTTTTAAAAAGGCGTTATTACGCCTTTTTAAAAGGTATTAATACGCCTTTCAAAAAGGCGTTATTATGCCTTTTGAAGGGCCATTATGATGTCTTTGACAGTTCCGTGCTTTTAAAGTGGGGGGGGGGGGGGTCCCATAACATTGACAAGCAAACAAAAAAACAAGACCCCCCCCCCCTGAAAAAAAATAAACTGCCTAAACTTGAGGGGAAACTTTTTCTAATTTTTCGGTAAAACTTTTTTTAAATGCAATGACTTGCCCGAGTTTAACCATACTGCAACAAAATGTAAAGGGACCAAGCAATGAATTTATGATTTTTTATATTTAAACTATAGCAAGACTATTCTCCCAAAAAGTCGGGTGGGGGACCCCCCCCCCCCCCCTCACATTCGTACTACCGGCCTGTTTGAAAAGGAGTTGTATCCAAAAATGGAACTTAGGCATTATTTTAAAATAGTAAATATATGAAAGATTGAACCAAAGCCATCTTTATTTATGCAATATTTAGATTATAGTTTTAATATTATAAATTATATTATAAATTATAGAATTTTTTATATTCCTGCACATCTCGCAGACAGTTGTTTGCATTTTGCATGCATATTAAGAGAAGTCAACACTCTACTTTTGAAAATCCATGATATATATAGGCATAACCAGCTTTGGGCTTTGCTAGCCACGTATTAAAAATTCATGTCAAATTTGAAATATTTTTCTCTCCTCTTGGTAAAAAACAGGCAAAGTATTTGCAAAGGTATAATGAGCAATTAGCCTTCAACAAAATTTCTGAAATCCATACACCTTGGTAGAAGCGTCTGGCATCAGAGAAGGACTACGTTGGTTTAACACTGAAAATATTTTACACATTTAAAAATCTTTTTTCCTAGAAATCTAATTATAATCAGTCCCCAGGGTGGGCTAAGTAAGTCATGTATTGAAAAAAAAGAGGCATAAAAACGCCTTTTTAAAAGGCGTAATAACGCCATTTCAAAAAGCGTAATAACGCCTTTTAGAAAGGCGTAATAACGCCTTTTAGAAAGGCGTAATAACGCCTTTTGGAAAGGCGTAATAACGCCTTTTGGAAAGGCGTTATAACGCCTTTTTAAAAGGCATAATAACGCCTTTTGGAAAGGCGTAATAACGCCTTTTGGAAAGGCGTAATAATGCCTTTTGGAAAGGCGTTATAACGCCTTTTTAAAAGGCGTAATAACGCCTTTTGGAAAGGCGTAATAACGCCTTTTGGAAAGGCGTAATCACGCCTTTATTTGCGTTATTACGCCTTTTTCCGCGTTATAACGCCTTTTCAAAAGGCGTTATTACGCCTTTTTTCGCGTTATAACGCCTTTTGAAAAGGCGTTATAACGCCTTTTAAATTATTTTTACCGTAGCTTGATCCTAATAGGCTTTCGTAAACTCAAGATGACCTTGATAATGTCAACAGAATGATGGTTTCAAAAGTGGGGGGGGGGGGGCAACTTCCCAAAATTTTCCTTTAGATGTTGGTTGGCACCCCCACCTTTTGATGTTGTATAAGGTTGAGCGATGGTAAATTCCATGATTTTGACAGTAAATTAGCTTTTTTTTGCTTGTCAGAAAATTTTGAGAAGTTGCCCCCCCCCCCCCCCCCCACCCACCCACCCACTTTTGAAGCCATTGCTAAGGGCCTGAAACACTCAACCAATGACCGCTGAGCCATGTACACTACGCTGATGACAATTAAGTAAATTTAATATTACATTAATTTGCATCATCAGTTGGATTCTGTACATTGATGAGTGGTGAAGTTGATTCATGTCTGTTGACATTATCAAGGTCATCTTGAGTTCAATGCATGCTTTGGATTGACTGCATGTGTCACTTCCTTTTTTTCATTGACAAGTTAAAGCTGTTACAGCAAAGTCAAATTCTAGGTAGGTAGCAGTGGGGGATTTAAGGGGAAGCGCACCCACCATGCGCCCCTCTAAAATTATCAAAGTTAGTGTAAATCATAGTTTCGTCGAGAAAATGTAAAAATGTCTACTTGGTAGACCTCATTTTTACCCTACAAAATCTCTAGAATCCAGGAGCTTCCGGGGGCTTCGCCTCCTGGGCCTGGGCCCCCACCAGGACTTTGCCCTGGACCCACTGGGTGCCTCAAGGTAACCCCCAGACCCCTTGCCTACTTTTTGCGTCCCCTCTAACTGCAATTTCTGGATCCGCACCTGGGTAGATACTTGACTGACCTTGATCAGATATCACTTACAAGATACATATACTTTGCTTTAGATACTGCAATTAATTTTTGAACTTTGCATGATTGAGTTCTGCATAAACCAAACTTTCATAAATGTTTCCAAATTTCATTGCATCACATTCTCCAGTCTAGTGAGAAACTACATATTTAAGGTCAAGATTTAATAAATGAAAGTGGCCTAAGATTTTTCAAATTTTAGAAACAAGTTGTTTTAATGATCCTTTACAAATATAGCTTGGTAATATAAGGTGTATCGGGACATAATTTTTAGGTAAACTAAAAGTAAAAACATTTTTTCAACCAGCATTTTCAATGCAAAATGAAGATTTCAGAGTTTTTTTCCATCTTAGAAAAAGGAAATGTATTAATATTGCCCACAGTCTCCCAGAAAACAGGTATTCTCATCTTCTTGACCTTTACTTTAAAATGACATTAAATTGAATGTAGATATTGGGGTTTCTTTTGACATGATTTCAAATTGAATGCCACGAAAATGCTTCATTTTCTACAAAACCCTGGGTAATTCTATTACAGCCGTAAAGTACAGTGCAAAAAATGAATTTAAATCAATTAGGACGTCATAATGGATTTAGTGCCAAACAGACAGTCTAAACTCATTTACTAGATCTTGACCTTAACAGGCGTAGATCCAGGAATTTTTTTTGGGGGGGGGGGGGGGTAAGGGGGGTCCACCCCATTCAAAAAAAAAATTCCAATCCTGAAATTTCTTTACAAGCAAAAAAAAAAAAAAAAAAAAGGAATCCTAACTCCTTTCCCAAATGTATCAAACCCAGAAAATTTCTTGGCAAGCAAAAAAAAAAAAAAAAAAAAAAAATTGTGGTGGTGGGGGTCCACGTTTTCCAGGGGGTTTCCATACCCCCCCCCCCTTTAGATCCGCGCATGGTGTATGACTCAACTTTCTACTAGCTTGGGCTAGTGGATTAACCCTTTAGCTTAATTGGTAGAGCCCCAAACTGGCATGCTAGGAGACCCAGGTTCAATCCCAAGCAGAGGCAAAACCTGTGTCATAATTATCTATTATTAATAATAACAGTGCTTATTGAAATTATATAAATTTTAAGTGTCACATCCACAAAAAGCATACACATGTATTAGCTTCTGTTAATTACCCCCCCCCCCCCCCCAAATGACAAAGACTTATTAAAATCAGAATTTATTTAATAAAAAAGAATCTCTGAGGTTGACAATCAGCTATTTTTTTACACATTACTTGAACATCACAAAAGCATATTAATAAAACATGATTAAAAAAAAGAAATGCTATCCACAATTTCCCCACACCTGTTCAATGCTAATTTACATTTTAGTAACACCCTCTTGTCAATACAATCATGAAAACTTTCTGTTTTTATGGCATACATTGTAAACAAGTCTGTGAAAAACCGAGGAAGCTGAACAGCACCAAGTATACAGTGGTAAAGGGGCCCACCATCTAAAACTACCTGTAAATGTGATCAACATCAGCTAGCATTGCATTTACATACATGATATTTACATTTCATTTCCTCATCAAAAGCATCACCCCTTCTCTGATATAAAAAAAAAAGCATTTCAGATAGAAATTAATCAGACTAGCTGGGCATATGAGAACAATTCAATATTTATGGAATTCAAATTTTTTCAGAAAACTGAATTAAAAAACTTTTGAAACAAACAACAAATAGCTTTAGTTTATCATTTAAACAGAACTGATTGCTAGAGAGGGAATGGATTCATCATATATTTATTGGAAATTTCCCTACATGTCCATTTCCATATAAGCAGTAATTCATACCTGAAATGTTTGTATTCATCTCACATATTTATATTCATAAAATGGGTCTCTTGTTTTGGTTATAATCTTAAATCATAACCCTCACACCTTTCAAAAAAAAAAAAAAAAAGAAAGAAAAAAAAAGAAAATACAAATGTTGTCGATGTTTCATAGATTCTGCACTATTTCAAAATTATCACATTAGACTTCCAGTACCCAAACAGAAACTGTACAGTGTTTATTTATGCATATACAGGCAGACATTTATAATTAAACATATAATGAAGTTCAATTGTTTAATATAATACAAATTATTCCAAATGTCTTGGCACCACATTAATTTTAGATCTAAATCCTTATAGCCTTGAAAAAAAATAGCAGTTTCTACCAAAGTTACATTGTTTTAAACAAGTCACTTGGCTTACAGCAGAATAAATTCAGGGAACATCATTTATAATCTTCACCAGATAAATATATACAAGTACATGTATATAAAACATTATTAAAATAATGACCTAAGAAAGATAACCCTGATAGGGTGAGAGTGATAGGACATTACATTGTGGAGTAACACAAAAACAAAGCTATGAAACTGATGACTTCAAAGAAAAAAATACTTTTCTTTCACACCTTTCCTTCATAACAATTTAAAAAAATAATAAAGCACTATAGATTTATGCAGTGGCAAACCAGTATAGCCAATTTTAAGTCAAAACTTATCAAAACTAGATGGGACTGAGATAATACGTCACGCATTAGCTATCAGAGGATTTGAGACAAATGATTTAAAAAACCTAAAGAAAAAGAGGTTGGGACTGCCAACTCACTTTGACATACCCCTGGTATTCAGATACTTGTGCTCAAGATAATGAAGTTCAACGATAATTAAAAATCACAAATCTGTTAAAATTAATTTGAAATTTCAATCATCAAAAACTAAGTTTTAAAAACTTATAAAAAACTTAATTTGATGCCAATAAAATTTAACTTTTGTCACAATGGTTTTGCAGGAAATAAAACTAAGAAGGTTGGAATTGTATATCAAAGTGTTCAGTGAATTAAGTTGTAATACCAAGTAATTGCAAATCAAAACTTGCATAGTTTGTGAAGTCTCAAAGACTAGGTTGTAAACTTTATAATACATGTACAAAAAACAAAATTTTATTTGGCAAGAGTCATGATAATTGACCTAAAAAAAAGAAGCTTTTTGCTTAGTGGCTTATACTGTAATTAATAATTAGAAAAATATCACCACCTTAAAAATACACTGACAAACTAGTTAGCTTAAAAATGATGCTTAAAAAAAGCATAAAATAATTTTAAAAGATAATAAACAAACTTATTTGCTCCATACAACAATAAATTTTGCTTGGGTCACTTTGAAATGTAAACATTGGTGAACTTTTGCTTGGCATACTTAATTTCAGACAAGATAATAATTCCTGCCGTACACAACCCCATAGGACAACCATAAGCTTAACAAGAACATCACTTTGAAACTTGCTTGTTATAAGTGATATGGTTATTCATATGCATAAATCATACATTTGGACATAATATTTGTAATGGGGCAGCAACTTGGCTGTTCCACACGTGTAGCTAAATGCACAGAGCTTCTCTTCTGTAACACGCTAACTTCTAAAACATGTTGTAAACAGACATTCACACTTACAGAGATTTGAGACAAAAAAGCACCAAACACAATTTAAAACAAATATTTCAGAATAAAAAGACTGTTTTTACTACAATCCTGTATGCACCACTGTCCAAGACTAAAAACTGACCATGTGACACGTCACTTGATCACAATAAACCATTACCTAATGATAAAAACACTAAAAGAAGAAAATAAAATTAAAACAACATGTTCTCTTACATGGAATGATTAAAACTAAATGTCAAGTTAACTTCAACAAGAATCATCATTAATAAATAATTTTATGACACAAAAACAATCAGCGGTGTTATTCTATAACTGTTAGTAACATTTTTCAAAATCAACGTACAATTCATACTGGTATATAACAATGAAATCTGGCAAAAAAGGGGAATAATAAAAGCCAAAATTGTTAGATGTTGAACAAAACAAATAGGATACCCTGCTATTTGCCCTATAATAATGACTAACGAGTCGTAAACATATCGGTAATACTTCTGGTAATGTAAGTAATGTCACTGGTTTATTGAGAGGACTATAACTTCACTCAAACATGTACATTTAAACTGCAAAATTTTCTTATATTCTAATTACTTCTTATAATAATGCCATAAGATAGTAAGGCCATTCCAAGTTTTTTCTCTGTTTAGCGTCCACCCATCTTTCAAAAACCTACCTACCTATTCGCAAAAAAAAAACACAAACCAAAAAATAAAACAAAGAATTTATCATCATAAAAATAGGCTCAATCAAAGGAATTGATTTGATTAATCTAATTTTCTCATAGAAAGATCTATTCTTAAGTAAAATCACAATATTAAATCTTAAAGTTGACCTAACATGACATATTGTAGACAAATATTTAGAAAATTGACAGAATTCAAAGATTTTGACCAGAATAATCAGTTTCAGGAATCCTAATTTCGTTTGTTTTTTCTGATATTGGGTGTCAAAAACCTAGGCGCTAAACACAGAAAATACTTGGAAGGGTCTAATTTACACAACACATATAATGCAGGTACATAAATTCATTAAAATTTCGATTATTTAAAAAAATAAAGGGATATACTACCGGTACATGTATTGGTTTTGAATTGTCTTGGTTACTAAGTGTAGAAACAGTGAGGGGTGGGGCAAGTCAACAATCATCCTATTATATTGCAATTTTTTTTTGGGGAGATGGTGATGGTGGGGGGGTGGTGGTGGTGGGGGGGGGGGGGTGGTTCTACCTACCTGGTATCTACTTGTAGGTATTCATGTATAACATTTGTAAATCAGTAACATGTAATTTAAGCTTTTAAAACTATTCTAATGAAAATCAATACAGAATCTCTGTCAATATCATTAACAATAAATGATGTCATTTTATTCTTGTAGTATGTTTCAAGTTTTACAGGTGTATATGGAGATCAAAAGGTTTAAAATCTGAATTGGTTTTATAGCTTAAGTTCCTTCATCTGACTCACATTTGAAATGAATTGAAGTAGAATGAGGGCAGAAGTACAAAATAGAAGATGTCATAAATACACCTTTCATTGTTAACATACTTCAAACTGAAATATTCAACAAATATTGAATTAACATCCCCAGATTCTTATAAGGTGACACAATTCTGCATATGACTACCATTGTTAATTAAAAAGCACACAGTACATGTAGCTTTGATATGACTAAATTTGCAGTGCTGCAGGGCCAACATAATATAAAACATTTATGATGGCCACGACTAATAGGTAAATACACAACAGATTACTCAAAATAGCAATCATATTTGAAATTCATGTATTTTTTATAATGCTCAAAAAAACAATAAAATTATACACACATGTATTCAATACAGGAGTAATAGAAAACCTTATTAAATTTGAAATAAAAATCAAAGTTGACTTTGTAATTCCATACAGAGGCCTCAAATAACAGCATGATTAAGAACTAACACTTCCACTTACTAGTATCATTTATCATTTCAATTTTACCATTAAGGGTCAAAATATCATATTATTATATAAACCTGTCAATGATAGACAAAAAATGTATTTCATCGAAAAAGGTTGCAGAGATTAATGATGAAAGTCACCGGTGTTTAGCCGTGGCCTGGGTCTGTCTCCAAAGATCATCCTTTCATCGTTAGTTATGCTTCTGGCCAGAGCTTGCATGGAAGCCGCCATTTCCTCTGGGTCTGAAGGGGCAGGCTAAAAACATGAAATATAGAGGTTACTCAATGAACTGCATGTATATATGTAAATAAATGTACAAAAATGTATAGGCTAGTGGATTGATATTTTTCCAAATTTTTTCTTAAGAGGAATAAAACAGATGCATGATGAAAGATAGGTAGAAATCTATCTGATGCACTTAAAAGCAAAACCATCACAACTTATTTATATAGTGGGCACTGCTTAGGTTGAAAATCACTCAGGAGAAGACACTATCCATCCTGTCCTAAATATTTAGAGATTGTGACAAACCATAACATACATCTTCATCACTTTCATCCCCTGAGTCTTTATTGGCTGTCATTCCCCACCTGGGAACCATAATGGGGACGGAAGAAGAATACTGGAGGGGTCTTTTCTGGAAACGACCAGTCCTGTCGGAACTCAAGCTGCTGTTCTTTCTGCTATCTGAGATAAATACAGAAAAAATTCCTACCAGTATTCTGAAATCAAATTATATAAAGTCTTCTGATTCAGAAGAGAAAAATACTTCATGTATGTATGGCTTAATTACAACATTGAAGTAAGTTGTTAAGAATCAAGTTACATATACAGTTAAGAATTACATGTATTTAAAACATGGTAAATCTTCAAAAGACAAATCTTATACTTTCCCAAAATAAAAAGGTCCAATTAGCTACATATTAATGGTAGATCATAGAGGCAGAGAAAAAAAATATCTATACATTGAAGAAGCATGATACATATAAGATCTCCAAGAGCTAGTGGTAGGATATGATTTTTATCCAGCAAATTGTGTGTTTTCTATCCCCAAGCCTGGGCAAGGGGATAGAAAACATGAGATTAGTAAAAATCATATCCAACCACAAACTGATAGGAGATTATTTTTATCACGTTTTACACATAGCTATCACAAGTTTTACAATGTCTTTATACTGTATGTGTACTTAAAAAAACGGGCTTCATATTTTAGCAGCTTTGGTGCAGACAGCAAAGTGCTAATTCATGATTACCGTTAATAAATAAATATGATATGATGTTTTTCATTACTTGCTTCGATCTGCCATTTTATCAGGCCCTCAATATCGAACCCAATTTAGTCGTCATCTATTTCACCAGGCAATAGTAAATGTAAATATATATCTATGTATAATGTGATTTTTTTTTTCAAAATTCACTTTTAATTAAATTTAATTTTGATATAAAATGGGTTACTGGCATTTGTCACTTGGACCATTCAGTTCAACCGTGTCAACCTGCATACTCTATATGTGAACTTCGACAATGTATATACTTCATGTACGTACGGTATTAGTTGCACCATGCTATTCTAACATACATAATTACACATTACTGATCCTCCTGGATTAGAAAATCTTAAGTTAATTGTTTTTAATTGATAGTAAACGGTAATTAAAAGCTCAATAATAAAACTACGATAGCACAATAAATACCTTAAGGCTCATTTTCAGCCAGGTGGATACGATAATTGAACAGCAATAATCTGATACGATGTTTAAAAATTATTTAGAGTAAGATATGAAAATTTTTACTTTAACTCATAGACACAAATTCAACTTTTTTTAATTTTTAGTGCTACATGTGTAGCGCTAATTCATGAATACGCCAACCACTCCATACCCGGTGATTGCGCTAAATTTTGAATACGTTAATTTATGTACACATACAGTATTTGAACCCATTACATTTGAGTTCACTTTTACACAAAACCTCTGTGACGTAACAACCGTAGATATGAAATGCTATCCTGTGAGCTGTATTCACTGTATAAAGGAGTAAACATGATAAAGTATGTTATAACCATGCACACTATATATGTTTTCTAGAAAACTAATAGGTTAATATAGTTCCTCATACTTGTTGTTCTTATATTCTATTATTTCATTGTCCAGCCAGGCCTACACTATTGCAAATATATGATTCTCATAATCATTTAAGGCATCTACAAGGGATGGGACCATTACTACATGTAGACCTATCTAAAATCCAAAGTGTATCAATCTCCATCTATCTTATTGATCACTTGGATTTTAGATGGGCCTAGTAATGGTCCCATCCCATGTAGATGCCATGATTATAAGAATCATATCATTGCAATAGTGTATCCATCTATCTGATTAATAAAATGATGTTTTTTATGATATTATCTTCATTATTGCTATGTAAATGCATTTACCTGTATGTACATGTATGAAAACTTTGTATTAATCTTAAAATCTCACCTGTCTCTTCTTCTTCCTCCTCCTCTGATGTGTAGAAAAGTTCATCTTGGCCTTGACCTTCACCCTCCAACAAGAACATCACTGTAAATAAATACAGATACAATAAGAAGTCCAAATATGTTTATATTCAACATACCGGGTACATACATGTATAAAACAAGGATTAATTAACAAGAATTTATAGTTACCAGGCAATATTTTTGCTATACAGTATTTGGAGATTCAGTCTTCTTCTTTGGCTTAATTTGTATGGTACATGAACAATTTCTTACAAACTAAAATAGATTATTTTGAAAAAAAAAAAAATCCCAGCAGCAACTTAAATCATAAGAAATTTAAATTTCTATCAATTTCATTAGATACATGTACATATATATGTATGAAGTTATGTACATTTAACATGCCATAATTCACCATATTTTAGCAATGACCTTTAATTCAAAAATGCCTGTCAAAATTTCTATTAGTTTAAACATTTCATAAACAATTTGTAAAATTCTTTATTACCATCTGAGTCTGGAGTCTGTTCGTATTCATCCACGGAGTGCAGGCGCTTGTTTGGAGTTGATTTTACCCTTGTCAATGAAGGTTTCTGTAATGACCAACATTAAATCATGAAAATTAATCCTCCATATTCAATAGGCATTAAAAATACTTTTCTTGTTACCAAAAAAAAAAAAAAAATTATGTTTATCTTCAAAAGTAGTCTAAATACGAGAAAGGTACACAAGAAAAATTACTGATTAGTGAAAAAAACTGACCAAAGAAGGCATCAGACTACTGGAAATTTTACAAAGCATGAAATAAAATGGTATCAAATTTTATTTTATTAAGCTACATGGTAACCTTTGTGAATTTTATTAAGTAAAATTGATGGTTTTCATATTTCACAAATCAAAATAGCTAGCTGGGGTGCTTTATACTAGGATTAAATTTTACATTCCTTCACTGCCTTATCTAAGGTAAACATGGACAGTTGTAAATATCAGATGGAACTCCAACTACAATATTTTACAAATAAAATAAAGGCAGACCTTGGAAGACTTTGACATGACAGCTGAAAGGTTTGGCAACTCTGCAAAATAAATATCATACAACATACTGTATTTAGCTTTGACCATTAACATAAATGATGCAAACAAGAAATCTCTCAAATTTATCAAATACAAGGGTTGTGCAGTAAAATTGTGGGCAAATTTTAATGAAAATAATGATGCACAATGGGATGAAATTTTCAGCAAGTATTTATCTGTCATATTTGAGTATAATTCTATGTTTTTGATAAAATATAGACAACAAATATTTGTACTAAAATTGTGCAGGATACAGTCCTACAGTGCATGACCAAAATTTCAGGCTTTCTTCAGATTACGGGAGTAATATTTCAAAGTAAAAAGTATTAAAGAAAGCAATTTTTTATAGTATTGCATTATGCAAGCACAATTTTTCCTTTCATGATAAAATTGTCCATAAATGGTTCAATAAAACTAACAATTTTTCAATATTTTTAATGTTAAATGACTAAGTATTACTAATTAGAAAATAGAGGCCTCGTGTAAATCATAGTATTATACTGCCGTTTAGTACTTAAACTATTGAAAAAAATAGAGTGGCAGTTTAGAAGTATTGTCTAGAATCAATTTTCATAACAAAGCTATTAATCCTAACACAAGATAAACCCACCATTTTTCTCTGGAACAGAGGTATCCAACTGCTTCTCTGCTTGCAACACAAGACTGTATACAAAATAAAAAACATATGCAATCAATAGAGATGATTAAAATGTGCTTACATCTTCTAATAAACTTTTAATACTTTAAATACTTTTAATTTGTTTTAATACATACTTAATCATTTTCTTCTTTTCTGTCTGAACACTTGATTGTAATGCCTGAAATTTGGCTCTCTGATCCTCCTCAAAGTCCCTAAAAAAGAAACGTCTCATCAATTTTAAATTTCAAAACAAAATCATTGCAGGCTCATGCACTTTCAAGTTTAAAAGTATGTCTTGAGTATACTTTTTTCAACCTTACCCAATTTGTTACCTGAAAAGTAGGAAGGTTGTCCTAGAAAAATGTGATCATTTTCAACATTGTTTGTTTTACTATTATTATAAAGATTAAAATTGGCATGCAGAAATTTTAATATCTCTATAAAAAGCTTTTTTCTCTCATTTAAATGAATCTTGCATAATAGTGCAACACCAATGATGTCGAATTTGTGAATTTGTTCAGAAATTGTATGTTTGTTTTCTAGAATTGAAAAATCTCTTTGAAGCAGAATTTGACAATGCATCTGATCTTCAGTTAGTACCCATCTTGCACAAACTTGAATTATCAAAAGATTGTGGCATTAATTCTTTGAATACATGATTTTCCAACCCTATTCATTATCCCAACTTCTTGCACTGTTAAATGGTGGTCTCCATATATGACCCCTAGTTCCCGATTTTTCAGTTTGTTGTCATATGTTGTTGGATTATCAAGTACCTCTTCCATCGGATAACCAGTCCAGCAATTACTGAACCTATTTTTTCAGATGTAAACCAGTGTCATAGATGTATTTGTGTCAATCTTTCATTTCCATCTATTTTCTCTATAGACAGTTGTTCCTCACTCATCATGGTGCTGAATGATAATTTGGTGCCCCACACTATGACCTGACCATTTTTGTCAATATCTAATTGAACATACTTGTGTATATTTCCATAAAATTTCTAATTATGATGTCAAATTAATGAATTTTCACAATTTAGTACACAAAATCATGTAGTTTTTATGTAAATTTGGTTAAAATCTTGTAATAAACAAAGTATCACTTACAAAGTTTTTTAAATGTGAAAAAATTATGGTGTGCTTACCACTGATATTTAATACCCTTTAAATTCTGTTACCATATGCACATTATGTAATAACCTTATAATAATAAATTAAAATATCAAAAATATCATTTCCGACTATGTACAAAAAATGAATAATTTTGGTCAGATTGTTTATGAAATATTTAAATAGTTTATCTGGGACAACCCTCAAACATAACATTTCAACAAAACAGATGGAAAACTTCAGGTAACAACTAGTTATTGAAAAAATACATTCCGAAACTGAATTTTTCTTACTAAACCTCAGTTAAATGAATTGACTGACTCCACACTTAAATACCTGATTCTCTTCTCCATGTCCTCCTCCTCTTGTAGGAGGAAGCTATTGACCTGGTCCTGAATATGTGTCAGTTCCACTTGTAGAGATTCATAATTTTTAGAAGAGGGATCTACAGAGAAAAAAAAATCACAAGAAAATTTTTTTTCAACTTGTATTTCTTTTTTTGTGTTCAAAGAAACTTGTTAAATTATCCTTAAAATATCACTGTTAAAACAGTGCTTTGTAGATACATGTACAACAGTACAGGAGAATTCAGGGGAATATGAAACCTTTTCAACACTGAACATTAAATTATATTTATGTTCACTTGGATAAAGCAAGAGAATTAATGTTTTTTTTTCTTTTTGTAAAATTTGTGTCAAAATGCAATTTAAACAAGAGACCCATGGATCACAACGCAAATCTGAGTCACCTTGGCCCTACTGTCCTTCAGAATAGTGGCCCCACCAAACCCCTGGGGCCATAACTTGAACAGAGTTGGATGTACATTATTTGGGGATGCTAACACAAATAAAACACTTATCATGATCATGCTGTTCTTGACTTGAAGGTTTCAAAAGATTTTTTCCTAGATACATTCTCATGCAAAACTTTTATTCTCAAGTGTACCCTTCTCTATACCCCAAGGGGCCATGACTTGAACAAACTTGAATTTAAGCGACCTGAGGATGCTTGCTTTTTAATATCACTAATCAAGGCCCTGCTGTTCTTGAGAAGATTTTTAAGACTGTCCCCTGTATATTTCCATGTAACACTTTGATACCCTATTATGGCCCTACCTCAGTTACTACCGGAGGTCATGATTTGAATAAAATTGAATCTACACTTAACTGAAATGCTTGCAAAATAACATGACTTATCATGTCCCTATTGTTCTATACAAGAAGCTTTTTAAAGATTTTTCTAATATGTTTGAATAAATTTGAATCTACACTACCTAAAGATGTTAGCATTTAAATGTTACTACATGTAATCATGGCCTTGGCATCCTTTAGAAGATTTTTCCCTATATATTCCCATGTTGAACTTTGAATTTTTATTGTGGCCCCACCCTAACTCAGGGGCCATGATTTAATCAAACTTGAATCTACACTGTGTCAGGAAGCTTTCATCTACATTTTTTCTGGCACAGTGATTCTGAAGAGATTTTTTTAAGAGACCATCTCTATTTTTGCCTTATTTTGATTATCTCCCCCATCAAGAGGGCACTGCCTGTCATTTGAACTAACTTGATTCCCCTTCACCCAAAGATGCTTTGTGCTAAGCTTGATATTGGTCCTGACCAGTGGTTCTGCAGAAAAAGTAAAAAATGTGAAAAGTTAACAGACAGATGGACAACGGACAAAGTGAAACTGTAATCAGAAAAGCTCATTTGAGCCACTGGCTCAGCTGAGCTAAAAAATACAAGCACATTCTGAATTAAAGTATGCATTAGCTTTGATTATCTAACTACAGAACTTCAAAGACTTTAAAAAAATGTAACCTTTAGGCTAAGTAAAATTAAAACTGGTTCTCAGGCTAATTTTCTTAAAAACAGATGTGGGCGGAGGCTTTTTTCAGCTTCTTTATCAGTGATAAATTAGATGCAGGGGCATTTTCTATGAAAATAACAATAAAAACTTTTCTTTCATTACTTTTTATTGAATTAAAATTTAAAAAAAAAATCAATGTGGCTACGTCAAAACAGATGCATGTGGGCCCGAGGACCATATAATTTCAATTTTACTTGGATCCTTAAAAATACCTGGCATGTCATGACTAGAGATTGTAATGCTCTGCCCATGAAGGACTATGTTGAAAACTTTGGAAAATTCTGGAGACTGCATTAACCTTTCGCTAATATGAAGATCACTCTGAAAAAATGAATTTTGTTTTACTAATATTTGCAAACACAGTCTGTCTAGTGTCTACAGTTGAATCTCAATATCTCAAACATGACAGGGCTGTCATGAACTTATACATATCTGAGTACATAGTACATACATTTTTTTTTCTTTACTTATCCCAGTACTCCTTAAAATCACAAGAACATATTCCTCACAGATAGTATTGGGTATATCTAATTTTTTTTCTTACAAAAGCATTGAACAAATGTGTCAACATCACCATGTTCAATATAAGGGATACAATAAGATGAGATGAATGTAAACTTTGATATATCTAACACTCAGATATGTATAAGTTCATGACAGCCCTCTTATTTCGAGATATTGAGATTCAACTGTACAGTAAAAAATTAGTTATTTGCAAAGTATCTGTCATATTTTCTTTTTCTCTCTTCTGATTGAGCAATAGCGTTAATTATATGATTTACTCATCAAGCTCATTATAAATTGTGTGAAGTTATGATTCCACTAGCTGCTTATAAAATATATATTTGTGAAGTTCTGAACTTATTTCAGTTTTGAGAGACTTGAAATTGAATCATTTATTACCTGCTTTGCATTTTATTTTGATATGCAACATTAATCAAAGTGAATTATGGTGCTTTCCACTTTTCTCTTGTCATTGCATTGGTTTTATTTCTTTGGGATCATTAACAGAAATCATATGTGAGCCATTTTCATTATACTGTAGATTCCTAAATATACGCGAGGAATTAATTATCGCGTAATTACGCGAGAAGCTCCACTCGCGCAATAAAATTTCTCGCTTTTATTTTTATGGTGCTGAAATCAATGTAAAACCCCTTGATCAACCGTCCAATCGCGAATTATTGTTCTCGCGATTTGACGTGAAAGAGCCATTTCGCGATAATAAGTACTCGCGAAAAATGAGGAATCTACAGTATCTTCATATCTTTTATACAGTCAAACCTCGTTATTTCGAACTTGATTGGACCAAGAAAAAGCTTCGAGATATCCAAGGATTTGAGACATCCAGGGTAAAATATTTAAAGAATACGTGGTTGGGACTTCCAAATCATTTTGACATATCCATGGTATTCGAGATATCAGTGTTAGAGATACCGAAATTCAACTGTATTTAAGACCTTCATTAAATAAACTTCTTTCAGAATAAAATCTACTGAATTCCATAAATATAGCCATCATGCATCAAACTACATGTAATTCTTCTAGCTTACTAGATTTTATACTCTTTAGTAAAGGTAAATGTCCCCCTCTGTACTAAAACAATAATATGTGCTCTTCTTTAAAAAAAAAAAAAAAAAAAAAATCAAACACATGCCAAATTTCAGAACTATGTTTTTCTTCTCAATTTGTATATATACATAACAAATTCAGTAATTTCTTCATAATACATTGAATAACTTGTAAAATGTATGTTTTCCAATTATCAACTGTGTTTATTCACTCCTGCGCAGTTGCTCTTTTTTTTGTGTTCATAACATGTTATGAAACTCCTAGAATGATTCTGATTGGCTGCTTATACCTAGGGATTCTAACTGGCTGCTTTTCTTAGGTCTACTCGCCAAGTTCATGCTTATGATGGCATAAAACGTAGGTACATTGTATGTTTGTTAACATCTATGATTAATTTTTTTATTCTCTGAACTTTTCTCTTGTATATTTCATTTCAACAAATCATCAAAGTACATTAGCTAGGACGTACATGGGATATCAGCACCATGTTTATTTTAGCCAAACACATTAAATCCAATTTTGTATAATGGGAGAAACAGGTCCCATAACCAATACAAGTTAGTAACCAGTTTTCTCAAACTCTTGTTCCTTACGGGTAATTTTTTTTAATTTTCAAGAGACACATCATGTCACAGGAACTCGAGTTTGAGAAAAATCAGTTACCAACTCACACTGGTTATGGAACCTATACGTATCAAATCACACTTTATTTTCTTTATAGCTTGTAATGCTGTTCAAGTTTACCTCACGGCATAGGGGTAAAATAACGCACAGTTTAAATATTTGCTATATTCACAGTGTTAATAAATATGCAAATTCAAGAAGCAGTGAATACCGCAAGTTTTAAATATTAATCCTGTTTTTCCCCTTTTTTGGGAAAAGTGTGTGTGTGTGTGTGTGGGGGGGGGGGGGGGGGGGGGGGGAGTTGAATCCAGACTACCATATTGTGCTTGTCATTAAATTTATCTAATTAACACATTTTTAACATTCAAAACTCTGCTGATAATCCTATATTTATCATTAAATAGCTGTTAAAATTGTCAACGCTAGTTTGATCAAAACACAAGCGTCATGGGTGTTGATTACTCGTGCATAACAAACATTATCTCGGGCACTTATCACCTGGTTTTATTGACATTTTGAGTAACTTAGTGTTTTTTAAAATTTATTTATTCAAATAAGTCTTGGACTTCCTTAAGATACAGGATTATCTTATTTAGTTGTCATAATGACCATGTTGACCCACGTATCCCTTTGGGTGCATGTGTCAGTTTCGCCTTGGTATAACAGCTTTCGGGGTACAATGTATTATATTACATGTACCAGTCATCGTATTAGAAAGCAGGGAAATCATCCAATGTTTATCGTCAAAACCAATTAACTGCACACTTTCAATCTTCTTATTATTCAAATATTGCTATGAATGGAGGGAAATTCAATGTGGGTGGTTTTAATTTTTTTTAATTATACACCAATTCTGCAAATTTATCATACCACAATCATTTCAGAGGAGAAAACAACATAACAATAACAATCCATGGAATTAATCCTGTTTACAATACATGTATTTTCACTCTCATTAGCTGGTCTATTTAAACTAACCTGGAGTTGAGGGGAGAGAAGCACCACACTGGTCCCCTGTCGTGTGGCATGTGTCTCAACGCCACAGTTCAAGCACCTGTTCACAATCCATTCCCCTACAGCATGTTTGTGTACAAGGTAGGTGTGTTCCTAATGTGAAAAAAAATCATATATATCCCTTTTTTATTGTACAGTAAAACATGGTTACAGCTAGCATACTTATGTAATGGTTTGGGCTGTAGAGATAGGCCTGGGTAGCTCAATTGGTAGAGCACCTGACTAGCGATGCAGGGGTCCCAGGTGCAATTATTCCTGGTCCAGACATACATTTTCTCCTTTTCTATTACATTTATATTGAATTCATGCTTACACTTACAGTGAAATTTTTATTCCATGCACTTTTAAAACATATTATAAACTAAATGAATATAACAAACTGTGTTTAAAACAAATCAAAATTGTTTATCTCTGGTACTTTGCTATTAGCATCATTTATTGTATTTGGAGCAGATAATCCATTTTATGCTTGAACTGAAGATGTTGTATTTCTTGATAAAATTTGACATCAAACTACTCAAAGCATATTCCACTCTAGGATAAAGAATTGAGTTACTACAGCTCAATTTATCAAGATAATAATATACTTACTTTCTTCACTTCAGCATCTGAAGCTTGACCCAGCTTTTGTGAGAAAAACTCATATTTAGTCTTCCATAAATCTATAAAAATACCAATACAATTGATTATAAAGCCATGAGAAAATTGATATTGTTAAAGTAATGAGATACTTATCTTATTAAAAATAGCCTGTGCAAAATTAACTTTTTCATTCAGATGTATAGTGAAATTTACTTCAACTGTCATGCTTTAAATTTTTTTTTTTTATTATACAGATACATGTACACAGTATTTTGTCCATACTTTGACTTCACTTTAACTTCTTAAAATACTGTGTATGGAAATACATAATACTCCCTCCCTTAAAGTTGCATAATGAGTCAATACCATGTGTTTCTTTTAAGAAAACTGTATCACAAAACAAAAGATTTCTGTGAAATATGAATATTGCGAAGTTTTGACAACTCAACTGCACTGTAAAGCAAGAAAAAAACTGCATAATATAAGTGCCGGAAAAACAAATGTTGTATCTACCGCTTTGTTTTTATCGTCAATGTCAACAATGTCAAGGTCATGCGTCCTTTATTTTTAGCGTGAAACTTCTAAACAATATTGAATTGGGACAAGCAGAAGTAAGGAATAAGTTATGATCATCTTTATTGAAGATTGTATCAAAATTCTCAGTCATCCGACATTTATATCTATGGAATTGAAACCATGGTAAACTCTTCAACTTTTCAGCACATGCGTACAATAAAGAGGAAGAAGTGAAGCAATATTTTTGTGATGGGTTACATAAAGATTTTTTTTACTTTTATTTTTCTCCATTAAATTAGATTTTTTAGGTTCTGAAACCTGTAATTTTCTAAAACCTAATATCTTCAAGAACTGAACAAAATTTGCATGTGTCATGCAAAAATTCTACTGTTGTCAATTTTCCCGTTTGTCCGTCACAGTGTCACTTTAATATTATAACTTGTAGAGAAAAATTATAAACATATAAAGATTACTTCATTACTTATTGTACATGTTGTAAATGTGCTGTGCTTTTGCATTAAAATGCAGTGTACCTTACCAGTTGGTAATTTTTCAAAATATTTTATTAAATCACAGTACAATCAGATGTTTTTAGACAAAAAAATCAGCATATCTTACCAGGGGTGTTTAAAAGAAAATAAATTACGAATATATGTATTTCCTCAAAATCTGTTTGTAGAAGAGATGTATGACATCATAAGAGTCACATACAGGTCCTTCACTTACAGGAAATTTAAGAAATGAATTTAATTTTTGAAATTTCAAGAGGACATGAGCTATGACACTTCACGCCGGCATATCTCTAATTAGCGCATAATGAGAAATATGCCTGCATGAAGCATTGAAGTTCATGTACCACATGAATTTTCAAAAATTAAATTCATGTCTTATATAAATTTACATTTTTTTCTAATGAGTTGCTACACACTATGTCATTCAACAATCATTTTTAAGGCAAAACAGTTTGCACTATAGTTTTGAGATCAAATACGGTATTATGACATAACAATGGAGATATTCATGCTCATTCATGGTAGTCCATGAAAAAATGGACTGTTTTCTAATTTGTAAGAAATCGTAGGGGAAAATTATTGGAAATGTAAATATAAAGAAATAAAATTCAGAAAGTATCTTGCATATGTCCTTAAATTACATGTACAACATTAACTTACTGAATGGCTATCTTCCTTTTGTTCTCAAAGATTATTTCTAATCTTCAACTTCCAATAAATGACTATTACCAGGTAGATGATTATGCAATATACTAAATACTATTTTCATGATTCTTCATTAAATAATGCAATTCATAAACCAAAATAGAATACTTTTTGTCTGCTTTTTATTACAAACCTAGATCTTTCTGTGCCTTTCGTGAAACTTAATTTCTAATATTATGTCATATACACTGCATGAGTCATTATACCCATTTAAAACATGCAAGCATCAGCATATTCATAGTATTGCCTGGATTCTAAAAATAAAATTCACTGACAACAGTAAATAATGTAAATCTATAATTGTTAAATGTTTTTCATTACTTCTGTTCAAATAAAATGTTACCCTCGTTCTGTTGAAAACTTGGTTTTGTCTTGCAGAAAATCTTGACATTCAGACATAAACAGGTATAAGACATCTGAAATAAAAAAAAATTAAGCATAGCAATAAAATAACGTCTCTTATATCAAGGAATAATACATTATCAACTTTCTCTGTGTTTCACCTTGTCACCAAGGGGCCTCCCCGGGCACCAGAATATCCGCTGATTACGCTGTAAACCTTAGGTAAGTTCTGCGTTCTGCCATCTATCACATAGGCTTAAGCCTATTACATCATCATGTCACGGGAACAATTTTTATAATAAATAACATTGGTAAAAGAAAATAATGGATCCATAAAAGTTCAGTTTTGTTTATAATTTGCGTCACCAAAAATTAGGTTAACTGTGGACTCTTCAATCATTTGCCAGTGGATAATCGGTCATTCAAAAAATCGCTGCATACAAAAACAAAACACTGATTTCAAGGTTAAGAAAGATACCCATGAATTACAATTAAATATGAAGAAAATAAAATACATACTTTTGAATGAAGTTATTCTAAAATTCCTGCTCGATATAGCGGCAGAATAGCTGGAGGTTAGTGGGTCAGCTTGTAGGAATAAAAACAGAGAACAAGTTATTAATAGAAACAATTTTTTTTAGCCATGTCGTACTTAGTATCTTTCGCCCTTGAATGCAATGTCAAATACCATCACTGTACTTGTGTGTAAGTAATTGAGAAAAAATTCTTTACTCCCTCAGTCCCTCCCCCCAAATACTTTGACCAAAAACAAATTTTCGAAATTAAATTATAGAATTTTTTTTAAAAAATCTACACTAAAGGCATGGCCGTAAGAACCGGGGGGGGGGGGGCATCCTCGCAAGCCAGGGGTCAGGGGCCAGGGGATCAAGGGCAACGTGTTGACTCAGGACCCCTGGCTTGCGAGGATGGGGGGGGGGCACTAGGGCTGTCTTGTCCCCAATAATTCTGCCGATATATAGAATACTATAGAAAACATAGCTTCTATACCCCTGTGCCCCCTAAATAATAACGTCTGATGATCTTTTTTCTTTCTTTTTATTTTATTTTATTTTTTTATTTTTTTATTTTTTTGCTTGTCAAGGAATTTTGGTAGTTGATAGCGCAACTGAAAATGTATGGTTGTGCCCCCTCAAAGTGAAATTGCTTCCTACGGCCCTGAGAAAAGTACTCTCGGGAAGAAGTTTGAGGACACCCCCCCCCCTCGATACTACTTGCGTGTTTTTAATGATAAAATCTTAATAATAACTCACTCACATTTCTAATATCATATGTGAGAACGTAACGTCATGGTATCTTTGCTTGAGAAAATTAATTTAATTTAGTTAGGTGGTAAAATAAATGCGCTATATATTGTATATAATAATTTATTGTAGAGTTGGCATTAGACAAGCTTATAAATACCAACCATATTCTGAGTATTATTCAACACAGGCACCTGAAGTGTGAATACCCCCCCCCCCCCTTTTATTAAAAAAAAATAGTAAAAGCTTATGATTTCTCAAAATTATGAGATTTCCCCATCAATCATATCCATATGTCGTTCTATGCAAACAGATTGTCCTTTTTCTTACGTTTAGATATTGGCATAGAACGGAATATGGATGTAATTGACTGGGAAATCTCATAATTTTTAGAAATTAAAAGCTTTTACTTTTTAAAAATAAAGGTGGGTGGGGGGTTCTAAACTTCAGGTGCCTATGCTAATGAAAAATCCTGAAAAAAAAACTATGTTTGTTTATCTGAAAAATTTATGATGCTGCCTGTCCTCCTTGATATATATATATATATATATATATATATATATATATTCCCTCCTCTCTATTTTCTTTGTTAATATTTGTACTTATTTTCTGTCATCTTTTTGTATTGTATAAGTGTATGTACCTCTCACCAATTTGTATGAAATATATATACATGTTATTAATGTACCCCACGTACCAATATTTTGGTTTGGGAGAATAAATTGAACTTGAACTTGAATCAAGTAAGGAAAGCCATGTCAATAATTCACGCTTTCTTTCATAAAATTATTTTAACCAAGTACAATCAGCGTACTAACACTGCTTATTAGTGACCCCCCCCCCCCCCATTTTATTAAAGCCGTAATAATCAAGCAGATTTACCTACTTGGGATTTTTAATACTTGTTGTACTCGTATATCAATATTATATTCAGGTGAAATTAATTACACACAATATGGTCCCATGGAATTAATTATAATTACCAATTTTCAGAGTTAGATCTGTCAAATAAATGAGAAATTGAAGTATTTTTTAGATCTGCCAAAGGTATCAATTGTACCTACACGAAATGTTAAAAGGATTGCAACTCTGACCCAGTATGATATCTTTACAGAAATACACATTAGATTATCCAAACCTCTGACTCCTTTATGAATATCACATTTATTCAATGTACAAGCTTTTGTTTTTGTTCCATTTACCCCCCCCCCCCCCCCCCCCCACATTTGCTTGGGCGAAACGAGACAGAGTTATTCCTCTTTTAACATAAGTTAAAGCAGTTTGCTATTGTGATACCGCGAAAATATAACATGCAGCATGGGACGAGAATTACGAAAGCCTATTAGGATCAAACTACGGTAAAAAAAAATTTAAAAGGCGTTATAACGCCTTTTCAAAAGGCGTAATAACGCGAAAAAAGGCGTAATAACGCCTTTTGGAAAGGCGTAATAACGCCTTTAGGAAAGGCGTAATAACGCCTTTTTTCGCGTTATAACGCCTTTTGGAAAGGCGTAATTACGCCTTTATTTGCGTTATTACGCCTTTTTCCGCGTTATAACGCCTTTTCAAAAGGCGTTATTACGCCTTTTTTCGCGTTATAACGCCTTTTGAAAAGGCGTTATAACGCCTTTTAATTTTTTTTTTACCGTAGTTTGATCCTAATAGGCTTTCGTAGAGAATAAACCTATAAATATACGATAGAAATATTTGGGAATGTGGTTTTTCAATTATGAGCAGCGGCTGCAGCATCTCGAGATATGTAGGCCTATAGCGGCCGTCATACGCTAACATTTTGTGAGCAACGTGTATACATAACGTTTCAAACTATAAGCTCTTACTGTTTCAAAATCAAGGGGGGGGGGGGGTATCTACACTCGCTGCTTACAATCGCATCATCTCGGGTCTTTTTTAATGTTGTCATGTGTAAACACTTGCTTTAATAAGTCTACATGCAAAAAATAATTAAAATCCATGACATTTTTAGTGCTCCTCTAGTCCTATTTTTGGTAAATGCTTAATTTTAAGTGCAAAAAGGTCAACATAAGGGTAAAAAAAAATACTACGTTTTTATTTTGTTTTATATGTAGCAGATACTCAAAAGCTGGATGTGTCGATGAATATTATTTATAGCATAGACTCTTATCTTTTATTTTATTAATGAATAAGACTCCAATTTATACTTCTTTAGAAAAAATTATATGGTCCAAATTTGAGTTAAGCAAGTAACTTTTTGAATTCAGTATCCAATTTTCATTACGTTATAAAACCCAATACATTACAAGGACAGATTTTTTTTCTTATGTTATTATGAATACAAAGTACAAACTTTTGAATCACTCAATAAAATCAGTGGGAACAGGTATATTGAAAGAAATAAAAGGAGTCAAATTTATATGGAATTCCATATACGACAGCCAACTGCTTACTGCCAACTGCTCACTGCTTACTGCCAACTGCCACACATATTTGAATAAATTTTCATATTTATATTGATATTTATGTGAATTTTCATAAAACCAGGCGCGGATCCAGGATTTTTTTTTACAGGAGGGGCCCACCCCAGTAAAAAAAAAATCCAACCCAGAAATTTCTTGACCAAAAAAAAAACACAAAAAACAAAAAAAACCAAAAAAAAACCCCGTAAACTCCTCTCCTAAACGTGAAAAACCTATTTCGGCGGGGGCGGGGGGGGGGGGGGGGAGAGGGGGATTGACATATCAACTTAACACGGATCCGCGTTTTCTAGGGGTGGGTGGGTTTCCAAGGTCACTTTTAGTTGGTGTAGTATAGGTCTATACATTAAATAACTCTACAAATTCCAGGGGGTGGTCTGGAACCCCCCCCCCTTCCCAACGACCCCCCCCCCTCCTCTAGATCTATGTATGTAAAACATAACTTATTTGGGAAAACAAAGAGACATAAATCTTTAATTTGAAAAAAATATTTCACTATAGAAATTAACGGAAAAAGGAAATTTATTTTCAAAACATCTTCCCCCGCGAAACAACAGATCCTTTTTTTTCAGTTTTTATTTGTTGTCTCACGGGGGGGGGGGGGGGGCACGTGTTTAAAGATTAAAAACAGGAAAATAGTCATTTTATTACCAATTTTAAATGAGATCACAAATAAAAAATGTACTTTATCACTTTATCAATCTCATATGTTAAATTTTACATAAGTTAAAACATACGGTGAGATTCAAGAGTCATTTATCCATTATCATTTTCATGAGTATTTGAAAATGGTGACGTTTTCAGCCTGATTTCAATTAATAAAATTTTCTACCCCCTTATGAAAGGAGTTGTAAATAAGAGCAATTAACTTTTTGTCACTGGTTTTTAAAATTAGTTCTTAATACTAATGAACTTTTCTTTGCATTCAAACAAGTTTTTATGTCCAAATTGCCATTTATATTGAATTAAATGGATGGAAAATGTAGGCGGGAATCGAGAGTTGGTGTGCATAGTTCTTACAATAATAACAAAATTTGGCGGATTTAGGAATTTTTAAACTGTAAAGGCGAGGAAGGAGTAAATCGGAAGAAGGGATGTTTCCTCTTAAAAAACAAAACATTTAATTTCTGCATTTCGTTGCAGGCAAATAATTTGATAGCTTTTTTTTTGACGCGGGTAAGGGGGAGGGGGGTCATATACGACAAAAGAACAAACTTTTAAAAGGGTCTTGAGTAACATTTGTTGGTATATGTATTTATAATAGAAATATTACTGAAAGTTATAAGAACAAATAACTTTTGCCTAGTTTAAAATATCGAGTAATATCTTTCGGATTTTCTTTTTACCCTAGAAAAAGTACCTATTATGGGAATTTTTATATGTGTCTTATGTAAATCGTTTTAATGGCTAATGTTCGATCTGTTAGATCTGTAAAAAACATTCGTGGTGGTGGTGGTTGTAGGGAGGGGGGGGCGTAACCACTAAATTTCCAACATATACTATATACAGTAGTTCTCCCTTACGGAAGCGTATTAGTGCCACGTAATGTTTTTTTTTAAAGTTGGTAATTCCAACTTTAAAGTTGGAATTACCAACTTTAAAGTTGGGAAAGCCAAGATTAAAGTTGGAATTACCAACTTTAAAGTTGGAAAAGCCAACTTTAAAGTTGGAATTTTCAACTTTAAAGTTGGAATTTCCAATTTTAAAGTTGGCAAAGCCAACTTTAAAAAAAAACATTACGTGGCACTAATACGCTTCCGTAAGGGAGAACTACTGTATATAGTATATGTTGGAAATTTAGTGTTTACGCCCCCCCCCCCCCCCCAACCACCACCACCACGAATGTTTTTTACAGATCTAACAGGTCGAACATTAGCCATTAAAACGATTTAC